ACATTTGTATGTATTTCCCATAGGGTCCTATGTTAAACTAAGCCCCCCCCCCCTAGCGGCCATCTTGGATGATGGATCGACTGCAAAGTAACAACACTTGGTCAGCAACTCATAAGGAACATTCATGCCATGTTTGGTTCAATTCCATTCAGTGGTTCTCTAAAAGAAGACAATTGTATGTATTTCCCATAGGGTCCTATGTTAAACTAAGTCCCCCGCTGTCGGCCATCTTGGATGATGGATCGGCTGCAAAGTAACAACACTTGGTCAACATCTCATAAGGAACATTCATGCCATGTTTGGTTCCATTCCATTTATTGGTTCTCTAAAAGAAGACATTTTTATGTATTTCCCAAAGGGTCCTATGTAAAACTAAGTCCCCCGCTGGGGGCCATCTTGGATGATGGATCGGCTACAAAGTAACAACACTTGGTCAGCATCTCATAAGGAAGATTCATGCCATGTTTGGTTTCATTCCATTCAGTGGTTCACTAAAAGAAGACATTTGTATGTATTTCCCATAGGGTCCTATGTTAAACTAAGTCCCCCGCTGGCGGCCATCTTGGATGATGGATCAGCTACAAAGTAACAACACTTGGTCAGAACCTCATAAGGAACATTCATGCCATGTTTGGTTTCATTCCATTCAGTGGTTCTCTAAAAGAAGACATTTGTATGTATTTCCCATAGGGTCCTATGTTAAACTAAGTCCCCCGCTGGCGGCCATCTTGGATGATGGACCGACTGCAAAGTAACAACACTTGGTCAGCATCTCATACGGAACATTCATGCCATGTTTGGTTCCATTCCATTCAGTGGTTCTCTAAAAGAAGACATTTTTATGTATTTCCCATAGGGTCCTATGTTAAACTAAGTCCCCCGCTGGCGGCCATCTTGGATGATGGATCGGCTACAAAGTAACAACACTTGGTCAGCACCTCATAAGGAACATTCATGCCATGTTTGGTTTCATTCCATTCAGTGGTTCTCTAAAAGAAGACATTTGTATGTATTTCCCATAGGGTCCTATGTTAAACTAAGTTCCCCAATGGCGGCCATCTTGGATGATGGATCGGCTACAAAGTAACAACACATGGTCAGCACCTCATAAGGAACATTCATGCCATGTTTGGTTTTATTCCATTCAGTGGTTCTCTAAAAGAAGTCATTTGTATGCATTTCCCATAGGGTCCTATGTTAAACTAAGTCCCCCGCTGGCGGCCATCTTGGATGATGGATCGGCTACAAAGTAACAACACTTGGTGAGCACCTCATAAGGAACATTCATGCCATGTTTGGTTTTATTCCATTCAGTGGTTCACTAAAAGAAGTCATTTGTATGCATTTCCCATAGGGTCCTATGTTAAACTAAGTCCCCCGCTGGCGGCCATCTTGGATGATGGATCGGCTACAAAGTAACAACACTTGGTCAGCACCTCATAAGGAACATTCATGCCATGTTTGGTTTCATTCCATTCAGTGGTTCACTAAAAGAAGACATTTGTATGTATTTCCCATAGGGTCCTATGTTAAACTAAGTCCCCCGCTGGCGGCCATCTTGGATGATGGATCGGCTACAAAGTAACAACACTTGGTCAGAACCTCATAAGGAACATTCATGCCATGTTTGGTTTCATTCCATTCAGTGGTTCTCTAAAAGAAGACATTTGTATGTATTTCCCATAGGGTCCTATGTTAAACTAAGTCCCCCGCTGGCGGCCATCTTGGATGATGGACCGACTGCAAAGTAACAACACTTGGTCAGCATCTCATACGGAACATTCATGCCATGTTTGGTTCCATTCCATTCAGTGGTTCTCTAAAAGAAGACATTTTTATGTATTTCCCATAGGGTCCTATGTTAAACTAAGTCCCCCGCTGGCGGCCATCTTGGATGATGGATCGGCTACAAAGTAACAACACTTGGTCAGAACCTCATAAGGAACATTCATGCCATGTTTGGTTTCATTCCATTCAGTGGTTCTCTAAAAGAAGACATTTGTATGTATTTCCCATAGGGTCCTATGTTAAACTAAGTTCCCCAATGGCGGCCATCTTGGATGATGGATCGGCTACAAAGTAACAACACATGGTCAGCACCTCATAAGGAACATTCATGCCATGTTTGGTTTTATTCCATTCAGTGGTTCTCTAAAAGAAGTCATTTGTATGCATTTCCCATAGGGTCCTATGTTAAACTAAGTCCCCCGCTGGCGGCCATCTTGGATGATGGATCGGCTACAAAGTAACAACACTTGGTGAGCACCTCATAAGGAACATTCATGCCATGTTTGGTTTTATTCCATTCAGTGGTTCACTAAAAGAAGTCATTTGTATGCATTTCCCATAGGGTCCTATGTTAAACTAAGTCCCCCGCTGGCGGCCATCTTGGATGATGGATCGGCTACAAAGTAACAACACTTGGTCAGCACCTCATAAGGAACATTCATGCCATGTTTGGTTTCATTCCATTCAGTGGTTCTCTAGAAGAAGTTCAAAATGTAAAAAGTTAACGCCGACGACGGACGACGCCGGACGACGGACGACGGACGCCAAGTGATGAGAAAAGCTCACTTGGCCCTTCGGGCCAGGTGAGCTAAAAATGCTTATTTTTGGCCCCTTATTTCTAAATGTTTTGGGCAATTACCCCCAAACTCAATTCCAGCTTTCCCTTTGTGATATGGAACCTTGTAGTACAATTTCATAAAGATCCATACACTTACACACAAGTTATTGTCATGAAACTAGAAAAATGCTTGTTTTTTGCCCCTTTTTGGCCCCTAATTCCTAAAATTTGGAGACAATTACCCCCAAAATCAATCCCAGCATTCCCTTTGTGATATGGAACCTTGTGGTACAATGTCAGAGAGATCCATACACTAACACACAAGTTATGTCTGGAAGTTACAAAAATGCTTATTTTTGGCCCCTTCTTGGCCCTAATTCCTTAACTGTTGGTACCATAACCCCCAAAATCAATCCCCACCTTCCTTTTGTGGTATTGAACCTTATGGTAAACTTTCATAGAGATCCATTCACTTAAACTAAAGTAAAAGTGCAAAAACCAATGTGTCTTTGGACGACATCGACGCTGGACGACGATGACGACGCCGCCAACGTCATACCAATATACGACCGCAAAATTTTTTTGCAGCCGTATAAAAACTAATGTGAGGTTTTTATTCAAATAACTGTTGACTCAGAGATATATCTCGCCTATCGGCTTAAAATTCAAACTAGAGGCTCTAAAGAGCCTGTGTCGCTCACCTTGGTCTATGTGCATATTAAACAAAGGACACAGATGGATTCATGACAAAATTGTGTTTTGGTGATGGTGATGTGTTTGTAGATCTTACTTTACTGAACATTCTTGCTCCTTACTATTATCTCTATCTATAATGAACTTGGCCCAGTAGTTACAGTGGAAAATATTTTGCAAAAATTTACAAAATTTATGAAAATTGTAAAAAATTGACTATAAAGGGCAATAACTCCTTAAGGGGTCAATTGACAATTTTGGTCATGTTGACTTATTTGTAGATCTTACTTTGCTGTACATTATTGTTGTTTACAGTTTATCTCTATCTATAATAATATTCAAGATAATAACCAAAAGCTGCAAAATTTTCTTAAAATTACCAATTCAAGGGCAGCAACCCAACAACGTGTTGCCTGATTGGTCTGAAAATTTCAGGGCAGATAGATCTTGACCTAATGAACAATTTTATCCTTGTCAGATTTGCTTTCAATGCTTTGGTTTCAGAGATATTAGCCAAAAACTGCTTTTTACCCTATGTACTATTTTTTAGCCATGTCGGCCATCTTGGTTTGCGGGCGGGTCATCGGACACATTTTTTAAACTAGATACCCTAATGATGATTGTGGACAAGTTTGGTTAAATTTGTCTTAGTAGTTTCAGAGGAGAAGATTTTTGTAAAAGATTACAAAAATTTACGAAAAATGGTTAAAAATTGACTATAAAGGGCAATAACTCCTTAAGGGGTCAACTGACCATTTTGGTCAAGTTGACTTATTTGTAGATCTTACTTTGCTGAACATTATTGTTGTTTACAGTTTATCTCTATCTATAATAATATTCAAGATAATAACCAAAAACGGCAAAATTTCCTTAAAATTACCAATTCAGGGGCAGCAACCCAACAACGGGTTGTCCGATTCATCTGAAAATTTCAGGGCAGATAGATCTTGACCTGATAAACAATTTTACCCCGTGTCAGATTTGCTCTAAATGCTTTGGTTTCAGAGATATAAGCCAAAATCTACATTTTACCCCTATGTTCTATTTTTAGCCATGGCAGCCATCTTGGTTGGTTGGCCGGGTCACCGGACACATTTTTTAAACTAGATACCTGAATGATGATTGTGTTTAAGTTTGGGTGCATTTGGCCCAGTAGTTTCAGAGGAGAAGATTTTTGTAAAAGTTTACGGACGACGGACGCAAAGTGATGAGAAAAGCTCACTTGACCTTTCAGGTCAGGTGAGCTAAAAAAGACAATCTGATGGACAACATTGCTTATTAATTCAGCAATGGACTATGATCTAGTGGGAAGGGCCTGAAAATGGTCGACAAACTGAGATGTCAGTAATGTAACTTTAAAGAAAAAATATTGTTGTTTATTGTAAGTAGTTCCTATCAATATAACTTCAGCAGAAAAACTTAACAATTTTTGACACCTGAGCCATCACCGGAAAAGCAATTCCTATGTCTCGCTGCCTCAGTAGAGTCAAAAAAGTTTTTTTTTTTATATAACTTGCATTTTGCTTTTAATCTTTCTAATTTCATTGAAAGATCCATCTGAACCATATCTTCAGTCATCGTTCAACAATTTGTAAAAATAAATGCATATAATAGTTTCCCCAACTATTAAACAGTAGTAAATATTGACAGATGCAGGGAGATATGTACAATCATACACCATGAATACTATATACCCGAAGTGGACAACCGTCTGCGAAAATAAAAATAAATACAAGCTCTGTACTGGTATCTGATTTTAATTTGTAACCATGTTACAATGACTAAAATGATCTCATCATGTATGATAAAAATTTCATGTTTATTTTACAATGGCAACCTTTTAATTCTATACACAAAACAATAACAAAACATTTATCAAATGGCTTCCCATCATGCTATTAAATGCTGAAACATAAAAGCTGTTACATAGTGAACTGTAGATTCATTATTATTCTGACATGGAAAACAAATTTTGTGGATTTCTTAGGCAAAGGTGAACTACGAATATAAATATTTAACAAAGTGCACATTTTCTATAGGCTTGTGCAGACTTTTGCAAACCATGAAATCAAATATCCAAGAAAATATATTTTTGTCTAAATCCACGAAAATTGGTACCCACAAAAATAAATGAATCCTCAGTATGTACATGACTAATACACAGAACATGTACTCCATAGCTAATTTTCTCTTTAACAAAGACTTAAAACTTGCCTGGTAGTGTATTTCTTAATCACAAAATCTTGGGCAATAACATAGCAATCATTAACTGCTTTAGAAATTATCAGCTGCTTCAGAAAATAAAACTTGAATTTATCTCGTCAGAAAGAAGTCAATACTTGAACTTTACAGTTTATATTTAGTGATTACAGTTGGTAAGGTAAGGAAAATAATTTGTATAATGTAGTTTCTAGCAAAAAATCACTACAAAAAAAAAAGATTCATATAAAATAAAGTGAGAATGTGTCCATGGGACACAGATGATGCCCCCGCTTGCATATCACGTTATAAAGGGACATAACTCAAGAACGGTAAAAGTGATGCTACCCAAATTCATACGTGATCTGAATTTTGTGGTAATAAGCATTGTGTTTAAGTTTCATAACATTTGGTGAATGCAAGAGAACAGAAACGAAAAATTCAGCAATTTTTCCATTTGTAAAGGGGCATAACTCTTGAACAGTAAAAGTGATGCCACCAAAATTCGAACTTGATCTGTGTTTTGTGGTAATAAGCACTGTATATAAGATTCATAACATTTGGTTGAGGCAAAGTAAAATTAGAGAACTGAAACCAAAAAATCAGCAATTTTTCCATTTTTAAAGGGACATAACTCTAGAAAGGTAAAAGTGACGCTACCCAAATTAGTACTTGATCTGAATTTTGTGATAATAAGCATTGTGTATAAGTTTCATAACATTTGGTGGAAGCAAACTTAAGTTAAAGAACCGAAACAAAAAATTCAGCAATTTTTCCATTTGTAAAGGGGCATTACTCTAGAACAGTAAAAGGGACGCCACCAAAATGCAAACTTGATCTGTGTTTTGTGGTAATAAGCATTGTGTATAAGTTTCATAACATTTGGTTGAGGCAAACAAAAGTTAGAGAACGGAAACCAATTTGTGGGATGTACAGACGTACGTGCAGACGGACAAGGGTAAAACTTAATGCCCCATCCGCTACCGCCGGGGCATAAAAAAAAAACAATCAGCAAGCTGCTCCTGAGATGGTTGAATGCAAAATTACCTGTTGTTCCATTCAAATTTTTATATTGTGGAAATACATGCAATAGAACACTACAGAAATTATCATCTAATTGAAGATTTCAACTATAAGATCTAATAAGGATTTTTTCGCGACATATTTCTGATGTCTGTAGTTGATCGATGTTTTAATTCACTTGTGACAATAATTATCATGGGTGTGGGTCTCTAACAAACTAAAAAGCAAGCAAAATTATTTGAAATGCAAGCCACAATACTCAAATTCCAAGAAAAATATATCTTTCATATTTTCCAATAAAAAAAACCATACAACAGATAAAATATTTTGGTATTGGTTTGAAAGTAGTTTATATAATATTGAAAGCTTAACAACGAATAAAATAAGTACATCAGCAGGGTTCTTAAAAAATCTAAATATTTGATTTCTTCCCTGTAATTTATTTGGTCATAACGGCTCAGCATTCCAATCTAAATTCTTAATGAGGACCCTCCTCAGGCAACTAACTATCATTAAAATTAAAATGAACAGATTTTAAGCACAGAACAAACCTCATTAACAGCTATCAGTACAGCAGATACATTAGGATCTGGGTTCCCCATTGCTATTAAAATCATTTATTTTGGCTTTCTTGTACAGCAGATTTTTATATACATTTCTTATTGCCATTGCCATACAATGGGTTTTGCAATTGTGTATTGTAACATATTTTGATCTGTGTTTCCTAATGCATCTGCCGTACTGAAAGCCATTTATAGGGTGTGGAGAAATTATGGAAGAAATCATAGAAGGCTATGACTGAAAACAACAATTAATATATTTCGAAGTGCTTTACTGGATTTACCTTCATCAGGAATGCTCAAACCTCAACATTTGAAAGCCAGGGATGAATAAATAGGTAGAAACGTTTGGAGCAAGATGGGTGCCATAATAAGCAATAATACCATTTATGATTGACATAATTTAAAAACATCTAATTGTTTGCTACATAATTAATTTAGTGTAAAATGGTTTATACAACAATCTACATGTATCATACAAAATAAAAATTTCTTCAATAATGATATAAGTATTTATTTACACTAACAATGCAAAATGACACAATATAATTTATGTAATGCTCAATGCCCAGTTATGAAATATGATAAGTATATAAAATGGTCTTTTCCTGCAGTACATTGTATTCAAATATATAAATGCTTCTTCATGAATGAGATTTAAACTGTACAGTCAATGGTTACAGGTTATGTAGGTTATTAACCAATGAAAATCCTTCTTTTTTAATAACCAATGAAATTCCTTCTTTTGTATTCAGCTTTTGTTTTCAAGATGGTAGATTATAAAAATCTTACTCTTAAATTCTAAATTTTTTATAAACTTTCACTGCTGTTACAAATCTGAGTAAAATGTAGGTTATGAATTAAATGTAATGTGTTTAACCAACATGTGTTTATGTAACCAACATGTGTTTATGTAACCAACATGTGTTTATGTAACCAACATGTGTTTATGTACACCAAAGTAAGTTTGTAACAAATCTACATTTGAATGTTTACTCCTACAATAGATCAAATAAATTCAAAGGTAATATTGCTGTTCACACTCTTATGGTTTTTCACCAATGACAGATTGTCTCCTTTTATCAGAAAGCTTCTAAATACCTGGTCTTTCAAAATTTTTAATTCTCAACACTTGTTTCCTATTTTGAATATGCATGTAGATTTTACTGGTGTATCAATAGAGATGTAATTCATCTTCCATTTCATGAATGTTAAATTATCACAAATTTTAATATTTAAAAATTTAAACTTTTAGGGTGGATAAATATCTTTTTTGCATGAGATAGGACTGTAGAATTTGTTTCTCTACATTATTTTTACCGTAAAAAGGCAAACTTTGATATTCCTTTTCCTAAAGTTCTGTTTTTTTCTGTTTCCTCACAAGACATGTTCATCTTTTTTCACATGTCACAATGGCAAAATCTCAATAAATAAATAGGAAATTTAATGTCGTAATTGAATTCTAAACAATTAAGAGACCAGAACAAGTAAACAACTTAATAACCAAAAAGTATTCAAGCGGTCAGAACAAATATAAATCATCTGAATATTATACTATAATTTGTAATGCATGTGTTGACTACTTTTACAGATTTATTCACCGTTAGTTAGACATTCTGAGAGATGATATTGTACAACATTGAGCAGATCATTGCTTTAATACAAAAATGTAAACAAAAACAAATTTCCGTACAACAATAATACATAAATTGCAGAACAACTACTGACCTTATATGTACACTAACAAATTTAACAAAAAGAACTCCTTTGGCACATGTTAATAACATACATTGTTTTATTTAAGGTTATGTCTACAGACTAAATATATTTTTCATATTACCAAATTCAGAATTTTTTGCAAACACAAACATATTAAAGAGAGGACCATTGAATTGGGGTTCAAAATGCATAGGTATTACTACAGCAGGACCGGACAAAAAGAATATTACCTTACATGACATGTTTTTGCTAAATAGAGTTCACCTTTTTAGCAGGTATCCTCAAATATATTGAAAATGATTGTTCAATTCAGTCAACTATTTTCCTTGGGACCCAAACAAGTTTCTCAAGCCTTTTTTCTATAATTTAATGTGGGTGGTTTTTGTTGTTTTATTTTCTTTTCTTAAAAATATGCATGGTTACAAATTCGGTCTGGATGTAAATGTCTTGTCGAAAATCTTATGAATTCCACAAAAAGTCAGTTAAAGACATTTCTCTTTAAATATGCACCCCTCTGTTGATCAGTCACCTTTATTTTTGCCTTACTTGTGTTAAATTTACTCAAAATAGTAATCATTTTTTTTCTCCAGGGAAATAGCTCTAACCAGATGTTTTGGGAAAAATGCTTTACAGATATTACATCTAAAAATCATTCATCCGTAATATTCAAAGTGAATGTTCTCAAACCCTTTTAGATATCTGATCATGAATAAAACTTTGAATGATTTCAAAAATAGTAAAATATATTTAATTTGCATAAATTAAAAAATAATGAGAATTCTTATAGATCTATACAACAAAGGAAAGATATAAAAACAAAAAAAGGAAGTCATGTCTCTTGCTATCCCCAAATAATTATTTAAACAGTAATGGTAAGAAAATCCCCAAAACCATTCAGATCAAAATTAAAACAGCATATGCATAACCTTATATCCTGTAAAAGAGTCTGTGCAAGTGTTATTGAATTTTGTCAAGATATTTTCGAAGAAGTGTTGATTAACAGAGAATAACCCTGAAGAAACTGTTGTTACAGCTTTTATGTCCAGGCCTGCGTTCGACAAAATATCTGAAGACTAAAATCAATCGTAAGTAATGAACAATTCAGTATACTTACAATCAATTTTAGTCGTAAGCCAGGAGAAACAATAAATTGACTATATTCTAATTAAAATTATTACAATATCTATGGTGATGATGCTTTTAAAGTTGATTTAAGTAATGACATAGGTTCTTTTCGTCTTTCTGAACACGTTGCAGAAGTAGCATGGTCTACAATGCTAAATACAAACTGTAAACATCCAACTTTTATATAACTCCCATGATGCAATAGAGCTGTACCTTCCCATCCTGCACCACTTCCTCCTATTAAACTGGAACTACTTCCTTTGCAGTTGCAAGGTTTTTTAATCTGAAAAGAAATTGAGAAAATTATTTAACAAAAGGGAGATAATCATTAAAAGTTAAATTCAAAATCTTTGAGAGTAAAAGAATCCAGCTTTAAATTGATAGCAGTACTTTTGACAATTAAACATGATTTTTTTTCAATTTTTTCAATATCAAATTACATTTTAAATATGTGATTTATGCTGCATGTACAGTACATCTCTTTTATCAAAGGAAAATATGTTGATTAGTAATTAAGTCTAGCTTGATATGTAGTGAATGCATTAAGATGCTTACAATGTTTATACATATCAACTCGTTATTTCTATTGATTTTTTCATCTTGTAAATTCAGTATTATGCCAAGCACTAGCATGTAGATATTATGTTTGAATTCAGCATAGTTCTTTTTTTTTCCTTTTATTTTTTTTTTTTTTTTTTAAATATATCCATTGTTTTGATTGTTGTATGTTGTGCATCAGTTTAAATCTGTTTCAACTGGCAGTTTTCTGATATCCCTATGGTGTTTAAGATTTCCAACACTTCAACTAGTAACTGTCAATTTATTTTTATTGAGTTTGGGATTAACAAAGAAACTCTGTAACTAACCAGAAACCCTTAATTGGCTCCACACCAGCCATAACAAAAAAATATGCAAAAACTATTGAGATATCAGAAAAACAGACATGTGTAACACCTTTTGTCAGCCATTGATTGGCCAGGGTATAAATAAATATGCCGAGATATGAATATTACAAGAGTGATCATCTACATGAAGAAGGGCCTTTAGAAAAACTTACATCATTTGCTCTTTGACTCATTGTTATTCTGTCTTTCTCCTTTATCTCTTCTTTGGGTTCTTCTTTCACTTTTTGTTTATTTTTACCGATTATTTTTCTGACAGCTGCCACAACTTTCGTAGGTTGTGGTGTGGTGGCAGGTTTGTCAGAAAAGTCACATGAATATAAAACATTGTCAACAGTTGTTCCATGTTCACTGTAGTTCAAAAGTTCATAATGTCTTGTTGTCTACAATAAAGGTTTTTCGTATATATATGATATTCTGACTGAAGACAAGATTATCACCATATTTTGTAATGTCTTTAAATGTTGTTATGAAAATGATCACAACTTTTTTCTTTATATGTGATATTTTTTTCAATTTTATATCTATTATAGTGTAAGCATTTTTATTCATGGAGAAATCTTGTTCTTGCATTTGTAATCTATAAAATATGTAAATTGACTGCATCTTTCAATTTTGGCAAATGCAGCAGATAGCCTACAAACTATACTTATGTGGTAATAGGTGGTGTTCTATAGTTTAATCCTAAAAACACTACCTAAGCAAGGCCTTTCATAACCTATTGTTATAAATCATAAGGTAATATATGGTTGTAAGCACCTTTCAAAATGTTACGGAATTAGCAAAGAAGAAAACATATTCAAATGTTATGTATTAATTAGCGTTGTGATCCCGTCAATGCACAATTTTTTATACCAACTACAATGCATATTAATTTATGAAATCTTTCAAACACCTGTTAAAGTTACTTGATACAGTAAAGTCATGTGATACAGTAAAGTTATGTGATACAGTAAAGTCATGTGATACAGTAAAGTCATGTGATACAGTAAAGTCATGTGAAACAAGTGTCTGGTATTCATAATGTTAAGGAAATTATTGAACCAATGCATGCATATATAATAACTTAGTCCTCTAGGGTTTGAGCATGATTTTTACAGTTATTACCAATTATAAAGTATATTCGAAAAAAAATATTTCATTCAGTGATTATTGGTCGAAAACTTTGGCTATTTAAAACTTCAGTTTTGTTGCAGAAGCTTTCCAATTGAGCTCGGTGAGTATGTGTATAATAAGTGAGATGATAGAGCGATGTTTATTTATTTTTTTTTATTATATTTTCCTTGTGTTCCTATTTGTTAATTAAATTTTGTCAAAACTGTTGAAACTTTTAATATAATCTTCCTTCCACGTTTATTTACTTTTTCTTCCATCATGGTTTTTCCCTTTCCACTAATACAGTGCAATTCCCGAATTTCTAACATTAGGTGTCATGTTGAGGTCACCTGCATACGGAAAAGCTGTTGGCAAATTAGAGTACATGAAGAAAATTATTCAATAGCAGCTCATTTCCTAAAGATTTGAACAAAATAAAGTATAGGTACCTGCTATATATGTTTAAGTTAAAATTATCTTCAAACTTAAAAAAAATAATAATCTCAAGTCAATTAAAAGTATTGGAAGGAAAACCTTTATACTCACTTCATCGTAGAAAACCATTGCATGTTTTGGTGATATGAAATTACAATGTCCATATTGTGATAAACACACATCCATATCAGCACCTACAAAAGATCAAATTTATTACATTGGAAATCATAACTAAACAAAAACATTAAGACAATTCTTTTTTGGTTGCTTGGCTGTTGATTCGTGGGGTTAAATTAAGTTTTCTATGTAGTGTTTTGTAAACTGTTTTTCTTTTCCAACTTTTTTTATATTTTGATGTAGATTTTTCTTTGACTTGTAATATATTTTGATTGTCCTTTGGGTATCATCCTCCTCATTTTTGTCTCATTGATGTATACCACATACATGCGTTTTCTTTCACTTTGTATGTCCAATACTAATTCTTAATGATATATATAACCATGCGTATATGGAGCAGAATGGTGGCTGGAAGCAGGCTTACCAACCACAATTATCGAAGAGCTTAATAAGACGGGGTACCCTAAAAACCTGAATGCAGACCTAATAAAATGCTTCGCTGGGGCGCAGCTTGATACGACCGCAGAGGTCGAACCCTGAACAGTTGGGGCAAGTATGGACACAACATTCAAGCTTGATACAGCTCTGAATTTGGATTGTTATTAAATATTTGACACAGCATAGGTTTCTGACACAGAAAGAATGTGGTCTAAGAACTTGAATTTTTTTAATTTACCTATTATGGTCCAATGTCCAAAATCAAAATACATGGTTAGATTCAGCATATCAAAGAACCCCATATATTCAATTTTTGTTAAAATCAAACAAAGTTTAATTTTGGACCCCAACTTGGACAAACTTGAAAACTGGGCCCATAATCAAAAATCTAAACACATGTTTAGATTCAGCATATCAAAGAACCCCAAGAATTCAATTTTTGCTAAAATCAAACTAAGTTTAATTTTGGACCCTTTGGACCTTAATGTAGACCAATTTAAAAACGGGACTTAAAATTAAAAATCTAAATACACGGTTAGATTTGGAATATCAAAGAACCCCAATAATTCAATTTTTGATGAAATCAAACAAAGTTTAATTTTGGACCCTTTTGACCTCAATATGAACCAATTTGATAGCGGGGCCCACAAATAAAAAATCTAAATTCATGGTTAGATTCAGCATATCAAAGAACCCCATATATTCAATTTTTGTTGAAATCAAAAAAAGTATAATTTTGGACCCCAACTTGGACCAACTTGAAAACTGGGCCCATAATCAAAAATCTAAACACATGTTTAGATTCAGCATATCAAAGAACCCCAAGAATTCAATTTTTGTTAAAATCAAACTAAGTTTAATTTTGGACCCTTTGGACCTCAATGAAGACCAATTTAAAAAACGGGACCAAAATTAAAAATCTAAAAACACGGTTAGATTTGGCATATCAAAGAACCCCAATAATTCAATTTTCGATGAAATCAAACAAAGTTTAATTTTGGACCCTTTTGACCTCAATATGAACCAATTTGATAGCGGGGCCTACAAATAAAAAATCTAAATACATGGTTAGATTCAGCATATCAAAGAACCTCATATATTCAATTTTTGTTGAAATCAAACAAAGTTTAATTTTGGACCCCAATTTGGACCAACTTGAAAACTGGGCCCATAATAAAAAATCTAAATACATGTTTAGATTCAGCATATCAAAGAACCCCATATATTCAATTTTTGTTGAAATCAAACAAAGTTTAAATACTGGACCCTATCTTGGACCAACTTGAAAACTGGGCCCATAATCAAAAATCTAAACACATGTTTAGATTCAGCAAATCAAAGAACCCCAAGAATTCAATTTTTGTTAAAATCAAACTAAGTTTAATTTGGACCCTTTGGACCTCAATGTAGACCAATTTAAAAAACAGGACCCAAAATTAAAAACCTAAATACACGGTTAGATTTGGAATATCAAAGAACCCCAATAATTCAATTTTAGATGAAATCAAACAAAGTTTAATTTTGGACCCTTTTGACCTCAATATGAACCAATTAGATAACGGGGTCCACAAATAAAAAATCTAAATACATGGTTAGATTCAGCATATCAAAGAACCCCATATATTCAATTTTTGTTGAAATCAAACAAAGTTTAATTTTGGACCCCAATTTGGACCAACTTGAAAACTGGGCCAAAAATCAAAAATCTAAATACATGTTTAGATTCAGCATATCAAAGAACCTCATATATTCAATTTTTGCTAAAATCAAACAAAGTTTAATTTTGGACCCTTTGGACATTAATGTAGACCAATTTGAAAACTGGACCCAAAATTAAAAATCTAAATACACTGTTAGATTCGGCATAACAAATAAATAAATGTGATCAAAGATTTTACAAATCTAATGCGCCATACTGTGCAATTAAAGATTACTTCTTGAAATTTTTCAATATTTGAAATTTGAAAAAAAAATAATATTTGAAGAATAATTCTTTTTAATTTCTGAAATCTGAAATGAGAAAAAATTGGCCCCCCACAATTTCTTTTTATCCCCCCCCCCCTTTTTCCCCCCAAAAAATTCTTTCCCTCAAGATATGGTCATAATCTCAATTCAAATTTCCAATGGAGTTGGCAACCATAATTACCCATTTAAATTTACCATAGTGCTAACTTAATCTATTTTATAATAGAATTAATAAAAATATAGTGTCAAATCTTTCATATGGATTTTTTTGTAAAAAAAAAAGATGAAAACATTTGCAGATATTTTTACTGGTCTTCCTTTATAAATATGCATTTCTTTAAACATAATTTAAAAGCAGTGTAAGGGAAGTAACCAAAACGTTGTATTTGGATTACCTCCCTTACACTGTTTTAGATTATCTTTATTGTTCATTAACCATTACTTTATACATAATTTAAAAGCAGTGTAAGGGAGATAATTTCAATGATGTATTTGATTTATCTCCCTTACACTGCTTTAAATTATGTTTTGTACTAAAGTATTTGTCCATTAACCAGGACAACCTTGTTTTTCCCCCTTTTTTGCCCCTAATTCCTAAACGGTTTGAGCCATAACCCCCCAAAGCAAATCCTAACCATCCCTTTGTGGTATGGAAACTTGTAGTATAATTTCAGAGAGATCCATACACCGTTCCACAGTTATTGTCTGGAAACTAGAAAATGCTCATTTTTGGCCCCTTTTTGGCCCCTAATTCCTTAACTGTTGGTACCATAACCCCCAAAATCAATCCCAACCTTCCTTTTGTGGTATTTAACCTTATGGTCAAATTTCAAAAAGATCCATTCACTTAAACTAAAGTTAGAGTGCGAAAACCAATATGTATTCGGACGACGACGCCGGACGACGACGACGACGACGACGACGACGACGACGACGACGCCAACGTCATACCAATATACGACCACAAAATTTTTTTGCGGTCGTATAAAAATTCAAATTTGTACAATTTTTTATACATATATATTGTTTCTTAGATTTCATTCAAATTTGCATACTCTTAAAAAAATCAAAATTAAGACATTTTATAACAAATATTTTATGGAGGTCTAAACTCTGACCTGAACAGTAAATATAAGGACCTGAATAGACCGTACCTAAATAGACATGAAAAGATATTTGTCAAACTGAGAAGATATTTTTTTTATGGCCCTAAATATGCTACTTATATAAATCCCACTTTCAGATGATGAAAAGAAAATTGATATGAAAATTTGTTCTATTTCTTTTTCTTTCAAAAGTTTAATCCCATTTTTTCAGACTAGTTACATCCAATATAGGACAAGAAAGTTTTGATATATTTTTGTCAGATTGGAAAAGTGAAAAAAAGTTATTGCAGAGGCGAGTTAATGTTTAATCTTTTGTATGACTTTGTTATTGACAAGCCTTTACTTGTCAGGGGAAACAACTCTAACTTACCTGTGCCATTAAGTGTTCTGTAGGACATTGGTATTTGCTGGCCTTTACTTTTCAGGGGGAACAAATCTAACTTACCTGTGCCAATATTATGTATTCTGTAAGACATTGGTATTGGCTGGCCTTTACTTGTCAGGGGAAACAACTCTAACTTATCTGTGCTAATATTAAGTGTTCAGTAAGACATTGGTATTGTCTGGCCATTACTTGTCAGGGGAAACAACTCTTTCTTACCTGTGCCAATATTAAGTGTTCTGTAGGACATTGGTATTGGCTGGCCTTTACTTTTCAGGGGAAACAACTCTAACTTACCTGTGCCAATATTAAGTGTTTTGTAAGACATTGGTATTGGCTGGCCTTTACTTGTCAGGGGAAACAACTCTAACTTACCTATGCCAATATTAAATGTTCTGTAAGATATATATATATATTGGCTGGCCATTACTTGTCAGGTGAAACAACTCTAACTTACCTGTGCCAATATTAAGTGTTCTGTAAGACATTGGTATTGGCTGTCCTTTACTGGTAAGGGGACATAATACAGCTCTAGCCTGTACATCTGGATTATCTACAATCAAAATTGGTTTTAATTTCAAACAAGCTAGAATGAAACAAAACCTGCACATTATCTTAATTCTATTTACAGCATAAAAGTTTTACGAAGAAAACGTTTTTTTTGCACCTGTACATACTCTTACCATTCTCTATTTTAAAGCAATCCTAAGTAAATGTTCTGTTATGACAATATACTAACCCAAATGTGAGGAAAATTAGAGAAATACATCTGTTTTCAGCTGCCTGTCTGGTCAATAGGTCAGAAATTTTATTTTTTCTACACTCTTTCTTATCGCAAAATCTAAAACAGTCTGATCCAGATCTGGACTTATTTCCACTAATGCATCTTTTAATTCACACATGCACGACAGAACTTTTGCCATCTCTAATGTAATGACAACTTTCTCACCTGCTTTTAGACTATTTCATCACAAATTAAGGATTCCCATCGACACAAAATGCTATATCTTTAATTTTTTTGCAATTAAATGTTTAAGGATTGATAGTCAAACATTGGCTTGGTTGATTGCTGTTTGCCTAACATCCAGTCTCACATTAAGCCTTTCGAAATACCTTTTAACAAACTGTTGACATGAACTTTGAGATTATAAATCTTACTGAAACAAGAATGTGTCCATAGTACACTGATGCCCCACTCACACTATCATTTTCTATGTTCAGTGGACCATGAAATTGGGATCAAAACTCTAAATTAAAAAGATCATATCATAGGGAACATGTGTACTAAGTTTCAAGTTCATTGACCAAAAACTTAAAACCTGAAGCGGGACAGACGGATGGATGCACAGACCGAAAAACATAATGCCCCTCTACTATTGTAAGTGGGGCATAAAAAAACAATCCATTCTGACCCCTTTCTCTGTGTTTTTGAGACAATACACTGTCTTGATGGAGAAACATGCTATTCAAATCGCTTTATTCCTGACTGATAAGACAAGACAGTTTCTTCAATGAAAACAATCCATTCAGAAAACCTTACTTTTAACTATTGAGACAATAAACTAACCTGACTGTAAAAACCGTCCATTAATTATAAGAACTCTTATTTTTTTTTTACTATTGAGACAATAAACTAACCTGACTGTGAAAACAATCCATTGAGAACTCCTTTCTTTGTGACTGTTGTGGTAACTGACTGTTTGTTAGGAAGGAGCTGTTGTAATCTTTGCCATGCCAATATCTGTATCAACTTTTCATCAAGTTTGCTCAGTTCTATCTCTAAAAAACAATGCTAAATATAACTAAGAAATATCCCATTAATTTCACTCAGTACCTTATTATCAGGTTTTCTGATCAGTCAGGGTACTACTTACACAATTGATTTCAGAATCACCATTTTAAGTGATTTCGGCATTGAAAAATTGTCAATGTTTGACCTTGCTCTATACAGACACATTGACTAATTTTTTTTACAATTTATTTGAAACATCTCCTGCAGGGGTTCAAATTAACATTTGGTACTGGAAGGTCAAGGACCTTTGACACTCCAAACTGAAAGGTCCACAACCTAAATCCCAGGTCCTACATTTACATGAAATATTTCATAACTCAGTAAGATACAAAATTAAAGTGCGTTTGGAGTAAGGTTACTGTAAATTCAGAAATTATTGCGAGGTTTTTATTATTGCGACAGAGTTGTAAACGCAATAATTTAAACTCGCATTTTGAAATATTTTATATGAACTAAACAGGATTTTTCTCAAAATCGTAAAAATTAAAATCGCATTTAAGTCTAAAATGACAAAATCGCAATAATAAATGCACGCAATAATTTCTGAATTTACAGTAGTTTGTTTCATCATACTTGAACAGCATGTGATGTTTCTTTTTTTATATAATGGGCTGTTAAGCGAACAAACAGTTTACAACCTTCAATATTGAAATACTGCTTACACATCAACACTATTTTTGCACTGGATTTCAAGAATAAATTCATAGTCACTGAAGGGTTTCCCATTTTTGCAATACTGTATGCAGTGTTGAAAAGAACCTTATATCTATTTAACTGATCAGGCTTACATTGCTGCTTGACTACATTGTCCAAGTTTAGTGTCTGACAAATAATCTTTAGACTTGAAATTTGGGTCACTTTCATGGATAAGATAAATGCTGGGGTGTCACTTCGTATGTTTTTATTGGGTCTATTTTAAGATTTTGTGTTCCCCTTACTTTCTTTTTCTGAATGGGTAGGGAACTTCTGGCAGTATGTCGTGACATAAGACTAGTTGATTCATCAAAATATAGCCACGGTTCGATCGATTTTCCAGTGGGGCTTAAATGTCTGTTCCCATTTTTCACGATCGCATTTTTGGTCTTTAGTGAGATCTTCATTTGATTTCTTTTGAAGACGTCTGTTTCTATCGATGGGAAGGTTGAATATCCTTCGATATGTTTATGGATAGTCGACCTTCCCATGGATAGAAACAAGTGCCTGTGGTTGAAGACCGTTCATGATCTTCAGGCTTTCTCTTGGAAGACGTGACACCAAAGTGAAACGGACTCAGTTTGTTTCGAAAATGTCTAAATGATTAAATGATTTGTCACATGACTTCTCGCACATATTTATAACCTTGTGTTTCCAAGAAATACAAGGTTAAAAATAACTTTTATCACTCGTCGCAAGGTCAGGGATGAAACATTTTTTTATCTCAATTTCAATAATAATATGGCTTGAAAATGACGATACAGATGGTTAAAAGGGTCAGCAAAGATCATTTTTATTTCCTTTAAAATCGAAGGTCCGTTTAAATCAATATTTGGAATTCGTTTCTTTAAAGTTGTTTCAATCCTTATTGGAACGATTCTAATAACTAAATTGTAAATTAATCGAGAAAAGATCACGTTTACTTTCGATTTTTAAACTAAATGAAAATGGGAAGTGACAAGTGGATAATAAGTTCAGAATGAATCCAGATTCATCTACAGATTAGTTCGTGTTTAACAAAAGGCAGGAAATTATCATTTTTTAAAATTAGTTGCTTAGTAAGAAATATATTTGTCTCTCTTGTTTAATTTTATACTAAATGATTTCGAATTTTACATTTGAGTGTCTATAAATTTATATGAATACTTTCACGCATGCGCAGTAAATAGTAAAGGAAGCACTTGTTTGACTCGTGAAAAGATTTCTGAACGGTTTTGAATAAAGTTCCATCTTTTTAATCGAAATTGTGGAAAGGTTTTGATGAAAAGTTATATCAAATATGTTCATATGACGAAACCACGACAAACGAACTGCAAATTGTGAACGTTGGAAATTAAAACGCGAACTGTCCGGGGGAAAACAATTTTGTTCAAATGACGAAACTACAATAAATGGACTGCAAATTGTGGTCGTTTGACAAATATTGAAATTGAAATGCCGACTGACTGATTTTACTGGAATAAATAATTATGATGGTCAATTATGAGGTTTATTAATAATTAACGGATTACTGACCCATCTGATGGCGATCAGCGGATTACCTGTAATCACAACTTTTAACACCTGTTGTAAACGTTAATTAGCTGAGGGTCATAACTTGTTGTTACATGCGAAAATATTTTTACACTTTCAAAATTTAAGTGGCGAAATTGATTTGAAATACTTTCGTCATTTTGAAAACTGTTTGGTAAATGACGAGCGCTAGCAAAATCACTGGTTAACTGGTCCTTGTGTAAATATAATATCATGCCAAAGTTAACACTATTGACCTACAGCTGCATGTGGCATTAAACATATATACCCCCATCACCATCAACAAATTGCTTCAGTAAGTATTTCAGAAATACTTTTACACAAGAATGGTGTGGCAATATACATATATATACAGTTACCATCAATACCCTGCTGCAAATACAATTGAGTAGTGTAGTTATTTTGACAGTATATACAAACCTACTAAGACATTAAAACACAAGAGCAGTTATTTGTATATTACTTCATTGGCAAAGTTCTGTGGATTTATATTCTTTTCAGATTAAAATTATTGATGCAGTATATTTTTAGAGTTTGTGGCATTGGTGACCCAATGATGGCGTAATCATGTGATGGTATACATACCTCCAGAGCCATCAAGACATTGCTGCAGTGTGTTATTGAGAGATACTATTGCATTGGTGGAGTTTTGTGGATTAGCCGTGGATACCTTTGGCGTTGAGATCGTTATACTTCCTGATGGTTTTGCTGCAAACAAATATCAACATTTATCACGTGTGTTAAATACCACATTCTGGTACCATGTATTTTTTCAGAATTTTTATCTTTTTTTTAATAAACATGATAAATGTAATTGTGTTTTACAAAGTGTTTTTAGAACCATTCCTATGAAAATAGTGCAAAGAAATGTTTTTAAAAAGTTCCTGAATCTAACAATTACCTAAAGATGTCTTAACAATCTACAAGACTGAACTACTTATACTAACAATAACTACCATATTGAAATAATCATTATTTTTCAATGTCTTTATTTTAAACCTGAATTTTAACCTTTTCTGTAATAGGTAAAAACTTTTTGAGTCTCAAATGACAATTTAGAACTTGATATATTGTACAAACAATAGTCTATTGTTGTACAAACACATTTACAAAGCATTGAAGGAATTATTCAATTTGTAGATGACCAGATGCCGATATGTCTTGCAATGATTCATCTAATAATAAATTACTTGATTTTTTTTTCAAGGTTAAATCGTTTGTTTCAACATTAAAAACAAATCTTTTCAACATCTATAGCTAAAGCTATAATATTTTTGCTAAAAAAACAGCATACAAATTTGAATGTATTATGATTTACAATATCAGATGTGTTGAAGTTCAAATGTGCTTAGAATCCAACAAAATAATTGTTCAGAAAGGCATGCAGGAATTTAATTCAGAAACAAATGAACTTATGATTTTATAATATTCAATTATATTCAACCATTAATAAAGACCTTGATAATAAAACACAGAGAAATGTCTCCCCCATGTAACCTAATCTCAATAACAATTGTTGACATCCCATACAGAATGCCCAAGTCCGTCTTCTGAGACAAGTCATGGGCCAGACAAAAAGCAAAGGGGTATGAAAAACTATGAAGTATAATGATGAAAAGTAGCTAAAAGTAACTATCTAGATTTTGGTGTTTAACAACTTTGTATAAAATCCTTTCCCATGTTATTTTGCATAAGGCCTTGATATATGTCAAGGATTGCCAAATAACATTTCCTAATAATGATCAAAAATCTTAGGTGAACATCTATGTTGGTGATGAGAAATTGAAGGCTGGAGGAGAAAAAGTTGATGATGTTCCCTCTACAGTGATCCCTTATAATCTTACAAACCTGAAGGAGGAGCGGACACTGTGATGACTTTAGCTGTAGATGAAGTGGCCACTTTCCCTTGAACATTGCTTACTTTGACTGTTGCTGCCCCTCCTCTAGGAGAGAGAATTGACGTAGGATTGCTGCCACTAATATTTTTACCTGCCAAATTATTGCCTGTTGCCTTGCCCGCTTGATTGGGACCAAGGACTTTAGTCACTACTGAGTTGTTGCTTTTGTTTATAGCACTAATTACAATATTTTTGCCCGAAGGCATCGTCACTGCTGATGATTTGTCAGAATTCCAATTTAAGCGCACTATGTTTGGTTGAGGGCTGTCAACACTATTGCTCCGTGATTTGGCTCCAACATTTTCTAATTTCTGAGATGTGTCAGTTTCAGAATTTATAGCACTTGCCCCTGAGTTGGAAAAAGAGGTTCCAGGTGGATGCAACAAAGATATGGCACCACCTTTACTAATATCTAAAGGTCCATTTGAGAAACAGTCAGGTGAGCTTAATGATCCATTGAATGATGTTCGTTCATTTTCTAACACTGATGTTTTACTATCACTCCCACATATCACATCTGAGACTAAACTGTCATTTGAGGATGAATCCATACTGTCTCTATGTACAACTGGTTGTATTGCAGCAGTGGGTTTCTCTGGTTTAGATGTTGAAGATGCAGACGATGTTGGTTTTGAACCTTCTGAATTTTTCTGTGACCGACTTTGTGCAAGATGACGTGCTATACTTGTTTGCAGGCATACAACAGATGACAACCACTATGGAGAAAAATAAAATATTTAATGAAAAAAGAAAACCCAAACTTTAGTCAATTTTTGTCTCTTTTTTCTTGCAAACCAAAGTATTTTTAAAATACAGTAAGCATTTCATTTTCTTTCATTTACTTCATTTTGTTTGATCTATCATAAGTATATGTATATGCATGCACCAAATTGTGGCACTAAAAAAAAAATATTGTCTTCTTTTATTTCACATCCTATACAATAACACCTGTATTTACTACTCAAACCAAATTGTATCTTTTATCCCGAATATGAATTCTTATTGTTGAATAAAGACAAGAAATCAGGGAGTGTGAAATTAGTTTGATGTTGAATTCAATTTTCACCATGAGCATGATAAAACAAGCTGAAAAATATTCATGACAAAAATATCTATCACCTACACTACTAATTTTCTGTATAATATTTAAAATATAAATGTGGATAGTGTCCACATGTGGACACAGATGATGCCCCCCTTGCATATCATATAGTTATAAAGGGACATAACTGAAGAACGGTAAAAGTGACGCTACCCAAATTTGAACTTGATCTGAGTTTTGTGGTAATAAGCATTGTGTGTAAGTCTCATAAAATTTGGTTGAGGCTAACTTAAGCAGAGAACAGAAACTAAAAATTCAGCAATTTTTCTATTTGTAAACACACATAACTCTAGAACGGTTGTGTATAAGTTTTATAACATTTGGTTGAGACAAACTAAAGTTCAGCAATTTTTATGTTTATAAAGGGACATAACTCAATTATGGTAAAAGTGTTGCCACCAAATTTCGTACTTAATCTGTATTATGTAGTAATAAGCATTGTGTATAAGTTTGATAACATTTGGTTGAGGCAAACTAAAGTTAGAAAAACGGGAACAAGAATTTGTACTTGATCTAAGTTTTGTTGTAAATGAATATTGTCTATAGGTTTCATAATGTTTGGTTGGGGCAAACTTAAGTTACAGAATGGAGACTAAAAATTTTGCAATCTTTCGATTTATAAAGGGGCATGACTCAATAAAGGTTAAAGTGACACTACTCAAATTCAACTTGATCTGTGTTTTATCAGTGGAAGTCAAAATTAAACATTGCATTGTATAAAGCATTGATTGTAGTTGATTCAACTATAATCATGGACAAAGGAAGATAACTCCAATTTTAAAAATAAAATGCTCCGCTGGGCGCAGCTTGATACGACCTCAGAGGTCAAACCCTGAACAGTTGGGGCAAGTATGGACACAACATTCGAGCTTGAAACAGCACTGAATTTGGATTGTGATTAAATATTTGACACAGCATAGGTTTCTGACACAGAATGAATGTGGTCTAAGAACTTAAAATTTTTTAATTTACCTATTCAAACCATATCATTATTATTTGCTTTTATATATAAATCAGAAATAACCAATTTAAAATGGAAAATTTTAAAGAAAAAAAAAGGAACCCCCCCCCCCCCCCAATTTTTTGAACCCCCTTATGATTCATCACCCCCAAACTCAATCCCAGCCTTCTCTTTGTGGTATGGTACCTTGCAGTACAATTTCAGAGAGATCCATACACTGGAACACAAGTTATTGTTTGGAAACTAGAAAAATGCTTGTTTTTTGGCCCTTTTTTTGCCCCAAATTCCTAAACATTTAGGGCAATTACCCCCAAACTCAAACCCAGCTTTCCCTTTGTGATATGGAACCTTGTAGTACAATTTCATAAAGATCCATACACTTGAACACAAGTTATTGTCTGGAAACTAGAAAAATGCTTATGTTTGGCCCCTTTTGGCCCCTTATTCCTAAACGTTTTGGGCAATTACCCCCAAACTCAATTCCAGCCTTCCCTTTGTGATATGGAACCTTGTAGTACAATTTCAGAAAGATCCATGGACTTACACACAAGTTATTGTCATGAAACTAGAAAAATGTTTGTTTTTTGCCCATTTTTTGGCCCCTTATTCCTAAACGTTTTGAGGCAATTACCCCCAAAATCAATCCCAGCATTCCCTTTGTGATATGGAACCTTGTGGTACAATGTCAGAAAGATCCATATACTAACACACAAGTTATGTCTGGAAGTTACAAAAATGCTTATTTTTGGCCCCTTATTTCTTAACTGTTGGTACCATTACCCCCAAAATCGATCCCAACCTTTCTTTTGTGGTATTGACCCTTATGGTAAAATTTCATAGAGATCCATTCACTTAAACTAAAGTTAGAGTGCGAAAACCAATGTGTCTTGGGACGACGACGACGACGTCATACAAATATACGACCGCATAATTTTTTTGCGGTCGTATAATAACTTGATATTTAGAAGAAAATAAAAATTTTAATTTTTCCATTTATAAAGGGGCATAACTCTAGAACGGTTAAAGTGAGGCCACCAAAATTCAAACTTGATCTGTGTTTTCTGGTAATAAGCATTGTTTATAAGTTTCATAACATTTGGTTGAGGTAAACTCAAGTTAAAGAACGGAAACCAAATTTGGGACGGACGTACGTAGACGGACAAGGGTAAAACTTAATGCCCCCACCGCTACGGCGGGGGCATAAAAAAAATGAAATGGATTGATTGTAATTGACACACCCAAATTTAATCACAGTTTCTAATCTTAAGTTTGAACTATCAATTCATGTCAGGATAACTAATCTACAAAGCTTACATCTTCTTCCTCTTCAGGAGTAATTTCTGACAACCTTTCTTGACCAGGCTGGGTGGTCTCCCCTAGATTGGAACATAAAGGTTCTGTAACTCTGGGTAATAATGCTGGTGGATTGAGATAATGATCTTTTATTGCCTGAGGAATCTGTAAATAAAACATTATAATATAATATGAATCACTGAATCTTTAACATTGTATATACTTATAATACTGTTATTTACAAGTTGTGCTTTTTCCTATCTTTATTGCAAGTTCATTTATGTAACTTTTGTTAGTCTACCGAAGTCAATTTTTTAAGCCCCACTTATTCATGTGCCTGCCTCATCAGTAGTTGTCTTAGGTTATATCTTAATAATTTTTGTTATTTGAATGATTTTGTTTTGATGGCAATCTTTGATAGTTTCTGTTTAAATGCTTTACAACTGTTTATATCCCGAATGAGGGAGCTTCACATATTGCATATTCAGTGGTGGACCTCATTTCTAACTGATATTAAGGAATCGGTGTTGGGGACTTCATTCTTTCCCTCTTTTAGATTTAAAGTTGTTGTAAATACTGTGCAAAGACAACACAGGAACATAACATATTTCATGTATTGTAACGTAAAGACTTTGTGACATTTTACTTGTATACTTGGGCATTGCAGATCAATACAATTTATAATATGTAGAACGTCTTCTTTATTTCTTCATGTATTCTTGACAAAAATAGCTTCACACATGGCATTACACAACTCTCTATCAGGGCTATTCCATTAAAATGTATGTGGGAGGGTAGGAAGGGAAGTTTAATTATTGAATGTGGGTCATGGGTCTTTTTTCAGTATGCGTCTATTACCATTATGCAAAATTATGTAAAAAATGGTTCTTGGTTGTAGGGATATTTTGAAAGTCCCTTCCTACCCTCCCACATACATTTTAATGGAATAGCCCTCACAGATGACCATATACTACAGACTCATCACAGATGACCATATACTACAGACTCATCACAGATGACCATATACTACGGACTCGCAGAAACTTGGACCTGTCAATCCTGACTGCCAAATTTTCTTCAGGTCCTGCCCTTTAAAGGTTTAGTACAGTTCTGATTATTGAACTTCACTTAATTGATAAAATTCTTATTTAATTTACCGCAGTTGTTTTCCGTAGTGGATGTTTAATTTTGATTCTAAATGGAGGATTTTTTCTGTGAGCCTTCTTTAAAAAGTCAAGTTTTATTCCATCTTGGTTTATATGACCACTAAATCTGTTCCAAAGTTTTATTCTCTCTGAATAACTAACAGTCTGTAGTAGGTTCTGATCCTGAAAAGAACACAAAAATTGTTCCCATAAAATAAAGCAATTTTAGTGCTTTTGAGGAGCATTCTATACATTTATAGATTGAATTCACAAATATTTAATTAATTGTATCACTGGAAGATATTCAAATGCAGTTGAGCAAGTTCCAAATTCTAGAAATCAAAAATACCTCCTTATTTGATATTTAGAATGAGAAAATATATATCTATAGGATGCACACTAACCACTGTCCATTTGTGATGTACATCTAATTGTGTTACACATTTATTCTACAGTTTCGTATGAGTTATCTTTCTTGTATCATAAAATTAATCATTAAAATGTTTCCCATTTTTTCTATTTTCTCACCTATCATGCCTATTGCAGGAGAACTGTGAAAGATGGAAGATACTTTATCAAAAATGTAATAATTTTTCAACTTCTTAAGTGCTATCTTTACACAATGTAATAGTGAGCTCAATCTACAAGAATAATATGTTAGTATGGTAAAATGTCTTATAGTGGACAGTAAGCTTGTGAGCTAACACATTCAAAATTCAACTCCACCCACAAAAGAAGTGTCATTCGTATGATATCATTTGTATGGTCCTGAATATGTTTTTTTTCACATTTGCCATGTTTTGTTTAAAACCCATTAATCGATCAATCATTAGCTGGTGTTGTTTCAGTAATGACTGACCCTCTGATAGTTCCTAGCAATAACGCTTTTACTGATTGAATAACATACAACAAAATTCTCTGGATGATTTGGACATATCCATCTCACAGTTGGCAGGGATGTCATTGGTGGGTCCAGACAATCCATATGGTACAGTAGAGGGCAATAGTCACATTGGACCAATGGCCCAACTCTACAACTCCTGAAATAATAAAATGTTTAGATTATGTGACATTTAGTATTATAGGGGGGCTTTCAATTGATGTGACATCATAGGTGAGACTTTTAATTGATACGACATTTAGTTTCATGGGCAGGGCATTCAATTGATGTGACATTTAGTTTCATAGGTGGGGCATTCAATTGATATGACATTTAGTTTCATAGGCGGGGCATTCAAATTGACAATGGACAGTAGCTTTGCAAATTACACTGTAATTCAATTAACAGTAAAGAGCAAATTAAAGTGCTTGTGAGCACTGAGAGTAAAGATTTTCATTAATTTTGCAGTGGCAACTAAAAATTAAAACATTATATTGCATTAAGCATTGGAAGGTTCAGCTACAATTATGGACAAAGGTAGATAACTCCAATTTTAAATATTACTTTAACAATGACATCATTGATATTTTTAGAGCAAATACTTAAATAATACAACATGCATAATGTATGTTCATTTCTTGACAAGTATGGTTATAAACATTCACATTATTTTGTAACTTAAATACCTGAGTGTATATTTCATTGATACAGTTCTTAAAATTTTCATGGATCAAACATAAATAATGTTGTACTGAATGCACTATTTTTTTTTATCTCAAAAGTAGTGATAAAGTTTGGAAAACTAATAGCTATCAAGCCAGCCCAATGAGGGCTTTGATTGCATGAATGCAACAGAAATGACAGAAGTTATGTTAAACAATATAAAATAATACTGCCTTAGCCGTTGGATAAAAATCTATAACAATGATATTGGCTACACAGCTGAAATTCGGAAACTGCTAATTTCTCAATCAATACCTATCAACCATGTTTTTAGCTGACAATGGAACCAACTCATTGTCTAATTGGTGTGCCAGTTTCTTACCTATCACTCATGTAGCATGTTTAAAATGGTAATAAAACAATCCCATTTTCTAATTCATGTGCCAGTTTCTTACCTATCACACATAAAACATGTTTTAGCTGGTAATGGAACTATCCCATTGTCCAATTCATGTGCCAATTTCTTCTGTGTATTCCTATCTCGTCCCCACCATTTCCTCTTACTAGACCCTATTAAATACATTTTAAAATTGAATTCAATATTGAAAATGTTCACTGGAAACATAGAGATACTTGAGATAGCATCAAATGTGCAATATGACTTTCATCACTGAAACCAGAGTTACTTACAATTAATTGATTTGTAGGTCTATACATGTTAATGTATTCACTACATTAGTTCTTAACAAAATAACAAGAGTTACAAACCTGGCATATTCATAGTTGGAGCAGTATCTTTGGGGAGTTCAAACTGTGTTGGATTCATGAGCTTTGCAGCTCTAGCTAAAGTAAATAATGGGTTTTTGTCCTGTGCTATTTCAACCTCCATGTCCTCCATAAGTTCCAGAGCTGTATTTTTTGATGAACGAGATTTCTTTGGCTTGTTACTCTGAGTACTGCTCCCACTGTTAACTGAAGAAGTGTCGTCATCCTTCTGTAAAAAGAATTTTTTTTACGTAAATCATTGCTGCTGATCATCATGAACAATTCAAATAAACTGCTTCGCTGAGCGCAGCTGGATACGCCCCGCAGAGGTCCAACCCTGAACAGTTGGGGCAAAAATGGACACAATATTCAAGCTTGATACAGGTCTGAATTTGGATTGTAATTAAATATTTGACATATTATAGTTTTCTGAATAAACGTAGTCAAAGAACTTGAAATTGGTTATATGAATTGAATTTATATTCAATTAAAGATTTCTTGCTGTTGTGCAATACACTGTGCTGTTGCGCAATACTTAGTAAATCTGTTGTCAGACTATAAACAAATAAAGTTCAATTTCTTCTCAATGTCATATTTGAAATTTATGAAAATCAATAGGGAGATTACATCAATAGCTATAAATAATTCACCAAAGTTTCATGAGAACAGCTGAAAGCATTTTTGAGTTATTGTCCAAAAACTGGAAAATCCCCCCTTTTTTAATGAATAAAACACCATAACTCAGAAATGTAAAATCTAAAATCTATAAAATTCTAAAGGGAGCTTACATTAACAGATATAAACAATTCACCAAAGTTTCATGAGAACTGCTGAAAGCATTTTTTAGTTATTGTCCGAAAACTGGAAAATCACCCTTTTTTAGGAATAAAACCCGAAAACTGGAAAATCACCCTTTTTTATGAATAAAACCCTGTAACTAGGAAACGTAAAATCTAAAATTTATAAAAATCGAAAGGGAGCTCATGTCAATAGATATAAACAATTCACCAAAATTCCTTGCAAGTTGGTGAAAGCATTCTTGAGTTATTGTCGGAAAACTGGAAAATCCCCCCTTTTTTAATGAATAAAACACCAAAACTCGGAAACGACAAATCTAAAATTTATAAAAACGAAAGGGAGCTCACATCAATAGATATAAACAATTCACCAAAGTTTCATGCATATTGGTTAAAGCTTTTTTGAGTTAATGTCCGACATGTTGACGACGGATGGACGGACAGACAGTCAACGGTATACCATAATACGTCCCATAAACGGGCTTTTAAAAACCTTCATAACTTTTAGGGTTAGATGATTCAATGGTTTATTTAGAATTGATATGGGACTGAAAGATACACAGACCAGAAAACATAATTTCTCTCTGCTATCATAGGGAGGACATAAATAAATTATTTTGTCTTGGTAAGGCCAAATAAAAATATCTGTGTGGTTCCAGTTACCTCACCAACCTTGGTTTAAACCCCCCCCCCCCCCCAACCCTAGAACTTTTTTTTTGCATTTCTAAAAAATAAATTTTGAACAATCCTATTTTTGTGGAATATGAATTTCAATAATTAAATTCACAGAGTTTTGTCATCTGAATTCCAATTAGAAGTAGCCACTACGGCTAAAAATGCAATAAATTCTTAACAGAATGCCAAAAAATAGACTAAAAACATAACATGTCTGTTTATTTTATAGCCAAACATATAAAATGGCGAACTTCAGGTAGGAAGTGTATAATACTGAAATCTGCTACAACTAAAATGCTGTGTAAATAATACATGTACCTTAAATGTTATCATATAATAAAATGCTTCGCTGGGCGCAGCTTGATACGACCGCAGAGGTCGAACCCTGAACAGTTGGGGCAAGTATGGACACAACATTCAAGCTTGATACAGCTCTGAATTTGGATTGTGATTAAATATTTGACACAGCATAGGTTTCTGACACAGAAATAATGTGGTCTAAGAACTTCAATTTTTTTAATTTACCTATTATGGTCCAATGTCCAAAATCAAAATACATGGTTAGATTCAGCATATCAAAGAACCCCATATATTCAATTTTTGTCGAAATCAAACAAAGTTTAATTTTGGACCCCAACTTGGACAAACTTGAAAACTGGTCCCATAATCAAAAATCTAAACACATGTTTAGATTCAGCATATCAAAGTACCCCAAGAATTCAATTTTTGTTAAAATCAAACTAAGTTTAATTTTGGACCCTTTGGACCTTAATGTAGACCAATTTAAAAAACGGGACCCAAAATTAAAAATCTAAAAACACGGTTAGATTTGGCATATCAAAGAACCCCAATAATTCAATTTTTGATGAAATCAAACAAAGTTTAATTTTGGACCCTTTTGACCTCAATATGAACCAATTTGATAGCAGGCCCACAAAATAAAAAATCTAAATACATGGTAAGATTCAGCATATCAAAGAACCCCATATATTCAATTTTTGTTGAAATCAAACAAAGTTTAATTTTGGACCCCAATTTGGACCAACTTGAAAACTGGACCAAAAATCTAAAATCTAAATACATGTTTAGATTCAGCATATCAAAGAACCCCATATATTCAATTTTTGTTGAAATCAAACAAAGTTTAATTTTGGACCCCAACTTGGACCAACTTGAAAACTGGTCCCATAATAAAAAATCTAAACACATGTTTAGATTCAGCATATCAAAGAACCCCAAAAATTCAATTTTTGTTAAAATCAAACTAAGTTTAATTTTGGACCCTTTGGACCTTAATGTAGACCAATTTAAAAAACGGGACCCAAAATTAAAAATCTAAATACACGGTTAGATTTGGCATATCAAAGAACCCCAATAATTAAATTTTTGATGAAATCAAACAAAGTTTAATTTGGACCCTTTTGACCTCAATATGAACCAATTTGATAGCGGGCCCACAAATAAAAAATTTAAATACATGGTAAGATTCAGCATATCAAAGAACCCCATATATTCAATTTTTGTTGAAATCAAACAAAGTTTAATTTTGGACCCCAATTTGGACCAACTTGAAAACTGGGCCAAAAATCTAAAATCTAAATACATGTTTAGATTCAGCATATCAAAGAACCCCATATATTCAATTTTGTTGAAATCAAACAAAGTTTAATTTTGGACCCCAACTTGGACCAACTTGAAAACTGGGCCCATAATCAAAAATCTAAACACATGTTTAGATTCAGCATATCAAAGAACCCCAAGAATTCAATTTTTGTTAAAATCAAACTAAGTTTAATTTTGGACCCTTTGGACCTTAATGTAGACCAATTTAAAAACGGGACCCAAAATTAAAAATCTAAATACACGGTTAGATTTGGCATATCAAAGAACCCTAATAATTCAATTTTGATGAAATCAAACAAAGTTTAATTTTGGACCCTTTTGACCTCAATATGAACCAATTTGATAGCGGGTCCACAAATAAAAAATCTAAATACATGGTTAGATTCAGCATATCAAAGAACCCCAAGAATTCAATTTTTGATGAAATCAAACAAAGTTTAATTTTGGACCCTTTTGACCTCAATGTGGACAAAGTTGATAACGGGGCCCAAAAATCAAAAATCTAAATACATGGTTAGATTCAGCATATCAAAGAACCCCATATATTCAATTTTTTTTTTAATCAAACAAAGTTTAATTTTGGACCCCGATTTGGACCAACTTGAAAACTGGGCCCATAATCAATAAAATGCTTCGCTGGGGCGCAGCTTGATACGACCGCAGAGGTCGAACCCTGAACAGTTGGGGCAAGTATGGACACAAAATTCAAGCTTGATACAGCTATGACTTTGGATTGTCATTAAATATTTGACACAGCATAGGTTTCTGACACAGGATGAATGTGGTGTAAGAGCTGGAAAAAATTTAATTTACCTATTATGGTGGAATATCCATAAACTAAATTGTTTGTTAATTTCAATATATCAAAGAATATGTAGAATTCAATGTTTGATGTAATGTAATAAAGTTGAAATTTGGACCGTTTTTGTTCAATGTGGACCAATTTGGTAACATGTATAAATAATCAAAAATCTAAATACATGGGAGCCCATTTAAATACATCATAAAGGTATTAAAATAGAAAGTGACATCATAGTCATGGCTAAAAATAAACAAAAATCCTTAATCAGCAACATTTAAAGTAATATCTAAAAATAAAATTCCTTTGTAACCATAAAAGCCCATTTAAATACATCATAAAGATATTTAAATAGAAAATGACATCATAGTCATGGCTAAACATAGCAAAAAACCCTTAATCAGCATCATTTAACAGTAATATCTAAAAATGGAAATTACATCATAAAGGTATTAAAATAGAAAATGACATCATAGTCATGGCTAAAAATAAACAAAATCCTTAATCAGCATCAGCAACATTTTATAGTAATATCTAAAAATAAAATTCCTTTGTAACCATAAAAGCCCATTTAAATACATCATAAAGATATTAAAATAGAAAATGACATCATAGTCATGGCTAAACATAGCAAAAAACCCTTAATCAGCATCATTTAACAGTAATATCTAAAAATGGAAATTACATCATAAAGGTATTAAAATAGAAAATGACATCATAGTCATGGCTAAAAATAAACAAAATCCTTAATCAGCATCAGCAACATTTTATAGTAATATCTAAAAATAAAATTCCTTTGTAACCATAAAAGCCCATTTAAATACATCATAACAGATATTAAAATAGAAAATGACATCATAGTCATGGCTAAACATAGCAAAAACCTTAATCAGCATCATTTAACAGTAATATCTAAAAATAAAAATTTCTTTGCAACCATAAAAGTAAAATAGAAAATGACATCATAATCATAGCTAAAAATAAACAAAAATTTTTTTTATTGGCAAATTTTAAATGGAGTTTATTATACTAAAACAATAAATTTGCAACCATAAACATGATAAAACCCCATTTAAACACATCATAAAAGTATTAAATAATTCAACTACATCATAAGGCTATAAAAATAGAAAATGACTTCATAGTCAAGGCTAAAGGTAAACAAAAAACCTTCATCAGCAAAATTTTATATTGGCAAATTTCCAATGAAGTTTATTACACTAAAATTGTTGGCAAATTTCCAATGCATTTATTAACAATAAAGTTATTGGCAAATTTCCAATTTACATAATTTAAAAGCAGTGTAGATGAGATATTTAAATGAGTTTGAATTACCAACCTTACACTGCTTTTAAATAATGTTCTTTACTCAATTATTTGTCTATTAAAATGGAAACCCTTGTTTTTTAACCTTTTTTCCCCTTATTCCTTAAACATTAGAGCCATAACCACCACCACCCCCCCCACCCCCCCCCCCCCCCCCCAATGCCAATTATTACTTTCCAATGTAACTTAAATTTCCAATATACATAATTTTAAATTTCAATTCCTCATGATATATAACCGTATCATTATTATTTTCTTTCATATATAAATCTGAAACAACCATCTTTAAATGGAAAATTTTAAAGAAAAAAAAGGAAAAAAAAAATCCTACCTCCCACACATTTTTTCAACCCCCTTTTGATTCATCATCTCCCACCTCAATCACAACCTTCAATTTGTGGTATGGTACATTGCAATACAATTTCACAGAGATCCATACACTTGAACACAAGTTTTTGTTGCAAACTAAAAAAATCCTTATTTTTGACCAATATTTGGCCCCTTATTCATAAATGTTTGAGCAATTAACCCCAAAACTCAATTCCTACTTTCTCTTCGTGATAAAAAATAACTAACTTAAAATGTAAATTTTAAACAAAAAAAAAAGAAAAAAAAAAATTACCCCTTTTTTGACCCCCGCCCCCCTTATGATTCATCACCCCCACCCCCCTTTCCCCCCAAACCAAGCTCAATAACAGCCTTGCCTTTGTGGTATGGTACCTTGTAATACAATTTTAGAGAGATCCATACACTTGAACACAAGTTATTGTCTAGAAACTAAAAAATGCTTATTTTAAACCCCTTTTTAGGCCCCTTATTACTAAACGTTTTGGGCAATTACCACAACACTCAATTCCAGCTTTCCCTTTGTGAAATGGAACCTTGTAGTAAAATTTCAGAAAGATCCATACACTTACACACAAGTTATTGTCATGAAACTAGAAAAATGCTTGTTTTTTGCCCCCTTTTGGCCCCTTATTCCTAAAATTTTGAGGCAATTAACCCCAAAATCAATCCCAGCATTGACCCTTTGTGATATGGAATCTTGTGGTACAATGTCAAAGAGATCCATATGCTAACACACAAGTTATGTCTGGAAGTTACAAAAATGCTTATTTTCGGCCCCTTTTTGGCCCCTAATTCCTTAACTGTTGGTACCATAACCCCCAAAATCAATCCCCACCTTCCTATTGTGGTATTGAACCTTATGGTAAAATTTCATAGAGATCCGTTCACTTAAACTAAAGTTAGAGTGCGAAAACCATTGTGTATTCGGACGACGACGACGACGACGCCAACGTCATACCAATATACGACCTCAAAATTTTTTTGCGGTCGTATAAAAACAGGACCCAAAATTAAAAACCTAAATACACGGTTAGATTTGGAATATCAAAGAACCCCAATAATTCAATTTTAGATGAAATCAAACAAAGTTTAATTTTGGACCCTTTTGACCTCAATATGAACCAATTAGATAACGGGGTCCACAAATAAAAAATCTAAATACATGGTTAGATTCAGCATATCAAAGAACCCCATATATTCAATTTTTGTTGAAATCAAACAAAGTTTAATTTTGGACCCCAATTTGGACCAACTTGAAAACTGGGCCAAAAATCAAAAATCTAAATACATGTTTAGATTCAGCATATCAAAGAACCTAATATATTCAATTTTTGCTAAAATCAAACAAAGTTTAATTTTGGACCCTTTGGACATTAATGCAATTTGAAAACTGGACCCAAAATTAAAAATCTAAATACACTGTTAGATTCAGCATAACAAATAAATAAATGTGATCAAAGATTTTACAAATCTAATGCGCCATACTGTGCAATTAAAGATTACTTCTTGAAATTTTTCAATATTTGAAATTTGAAAAAAAAAAATATTTGAAGAATAATTCTTTTTAATTTCTGAAATCTGAAATGAGAAAAAATTGGCCCCCCACAATTTCTTTTTATCCCCCCCCCCCCCTTTTTCCCCCCAAAAAATTCTTTCCCTCAAGATATGGTCATAATCTCAATTCAAATTTCCAATGGAGTTGGCAACCATAATTACCCATTTAAATTTACCATAGTGCTAACTTAATCTATTTTATAATAGAATTAATAAAAAATATAGTGTCAAATCTTTCATATGGATTTTTTTGTAAAAAAAAAAGATGCAACATTTGCAGATATTTTTACTGGTCATCCTTTATAAATATGCATTCCTTTAAACATAATTTAAAAGCAGTGTAAGGGAAGTAACCAAAACGTTGTATTTGGATTACCTCCCTTACACTGTTTTAGATTATCTTTATTGTTCATTAACCATTACTTTATACATAATTTAAAAGCAGTGTAAGGGAGATAATTTCAATGATGTATTTGATTTATCTCCCTTACACTGCTTTAAATTATGTTTTGTACTAAAGTATTTGTCCATTAACCAGGACAACCTTGTTTTTCCCCCTTTTTTGCCCCTAATTCCTAAACGGTTTGAGCCATAACCCCCCAAAGCAAATCCTAACCATCCCTTTGTGGTATGGAAACTTGTAGTATAATTTCAGAGAGATCCATACACCGTTCCACAGTTATTGTCTGGAAACTAGAAAATGCTCATTTTTGGCCCCTTTTTGGCCCCTAATTCCTTAACTGTTGGTACCATAACCCCCAAAATCAATCCCAACCTTCCTTTTGTGGTATTTAACCTTATGGTCAAATTTCAAAAAGATCCATTCACTTAAACTAAAGTTAGAGTGCGAAAACCAATATGTATTCGGACGACGACGCCGGACGACGACGACGACGACGACGACGACGCCAACGTCATACCAATATACGACCACAAAATTTTTTTGCGGTCGTATAAAAACTGGAAAAGGGAGATCCTAACCTAACAGATATATATATTGTAGTGGATCCTTTTCACAGATAAGAAGTTTTTAAGCAATATAATATATATATATATATATATATATATATATAAATCTTTATTTACATCACTCCCTAAAATGCATAGGTTGAGATACATACACGTACAGAATTCAATTGAAAAATCATTGCAAAATATCTTAACTTTTGTCAGACCTCACTTTAATGTAAATAAATGGGGAATGTGTCCATGGGACACAGATGATGCCCCCGCTTGCATATAACGTTATAAAGGGACATAACTCAAGAACAGTGAAAGTGACGCTACCCAAATTTGTACTTGATCTGAGTTTTGTGGTAATAAGCATTGTGTATAAATGTCATAACATTTGGTTGAGGCAAACTAAAGTTAGAGATCGGAAACCAAAGTTAGAGGACGGACAACGGTAAATCTTAATGCCCCCTTCGCTACGGCAGGGGCATAAAATAATGTGATAGCACCAAAATTCTAACTACATGTATGTTAATCCCTGTTCATGTACACTCAATATTTATCTAACTTGTGATGAAAGATTGTCCAATACTTAATGTTTTTATAATGTATTTCCACATTTAAACTATAAGTTAACCTTTTAATTGCATTTCCTATCCTATATACAAATTTATATTGACTTACATCTTGCTGCTTAGGAGCCACTCGACATCTATAACATATCCATTCCCCAGGGGGTACATCATCTTCTTCTAAAGGAGGATTACTGCAATCAAATAGGATCAATATAAATTTTATTTGTATATCAGTTAACGTTATCATAAAAAAAAAGTCAATCTTGAAAGGTTGATAGTAACAAGATACTTGTGCTGTTTTGAATTTCTTGTTTTATAAAATGACTCAAGAGACAAGCACTCTACCATGAGACCATGAGGCAGTTCAAAGGACATTTGAAAATGAGAGCCAATGGATGATTTTTTTAAACTGAAATCAGATCATGTAAGCATATTCTTACCTATATGTAGACATCAAATTTTGTTGCAATCTGAGGAATCTGGCTATCTTGAAAATGGGAATGACCAAACAAAATCTACACATGGAATTAATTTAGGATATCATTTTCTATTAGATATCATATTTTGTTAAAATCCTAGACAATATAGATAAATAATGAAATTAGATGGCCATTTTTAAATGTATGTTGTTGTGTAGTTTATTACACTTAAACATTAGTTTTTGTTGAATCTTAACTTAAAAATTTTGTGAATTGATTATATATATGTTGTAAATTCAGAAATTATAGCTTGCATTTATTATTGCGATTTTTGAAGAATGGACAATAATGCGAGACAAATTATTGTGATATCATCAGGAAAAGCTGCATACTGATAAATGCAACAGATATCATGATACTAGTTCTTATTATTGCTATACTCACCCAGTCGCATGATTCCCATTAATAAAAACCTTGCAATAATTATTTCTGAATTTACAGTATTATATATAACCAACAAAAAAATTTCTGAATACAAGTTTTGTTATATTTTGACAGTTCTTGTCTTGTATATGTCATTTCAGAGTATTGTAAAAATTAATTATGTTAATAGTTAATAGCTAAACATTCATTATCCCACACTTATAGAATTGAAAGGGATAATACAGTTGTGTACTTGTTAAATAAAGAAATCTGCTTGAAATGTTGTCATCTGAATAATTAGTCATGTACATTTAATTGTATGAAAATTGTGATACTTGGTTTACCAATAAGCAATAATTATTTAAAAGTCCTATTTACACATGCATATGTTACAAAACAATAATTATATATATATATAATAAGTTCAACTTTTACTAAAAAACAAAAGCAATTAATGCTTGAAATTTAGAAATTAAGAAATTAAAGTATCAAATTAGTGCCTTAGGCAAGATGAATTTATAAATCATTTCTTGATTTATGATTGCTTAATGTCCAGTGGTAAATATTTCATGCATTTCCAGGACGATTTCTTCATTGAAATTTTTAGCCTTTCCTTTCAAACTAAATGGTGACCTTGTATCCTTGTCTATGGTCTTTGGTGGATAGATTTCTCATTGCAAGGATGGAAATCAAAATATTTAAGTGGTAACCCAGATCAAGCAAAAATGTGGAAACAATAAGTAGCCATTGGCTACTGGGCATTTGCAAATTTCCATCCCTGCTCATTGGAAATCATACTATGTAAATCTCTCTATCTTTCTATCTTTCTATCCATAATGAGTGAAAAGTTCTTGCACAACATGTATTGCTAATGTATTACATTTGTAATAGATCATTCAGTTTTCATAAAAATATTCATGACTTGATCCAGTTTTTCATATTGCCCAGTATTATTACCCAGTAAAACCATGGTTTTTCCAAGTTTTTCCCATTGGGCTTGGCAATATTCGTAAAAATCTAGATTTTTGCCAACCATGTTCATGATGTTTCATTGGAAATTTGACCTTTTTTTAAAAGATTAAGCAATCAATATTTATACATGAGTGTTTGATTGAAGTCATCAACATCCCATTTGTTTAGTTTAAACATATTTGTTCTGCTAAATTTAGGCCAAATGCATAGGACACAGGTAAAACAAACTCATGAAGTCTATTCCAGAATACAATAAAATGGAAATATAACAACATGAGCATGCATTTAAAGAAAACAATTCATCAAATATAGTACATACTATGACACAATGAGGAATGAAAGGTAGTTTCAGTGATGGTGAGAATGATGATGATCAGAACATGTCAGTTTTGAGTATATTTCCCATTGAATTGACTCCAAATATAATAAACATAATTGATCAAACTAACAAATGGTTTTATACCCAAATATTACTAATGAGAATCATCATATGCAATAAACTCATTTGATCTCTGGTAGAGAGTTGTCTCATTGGTAATCATATCTCATCTTCATATCTCTATATTTAAGTAATACATTATATCATGATTTAGTTGTTAGAAACTTAGTCAATGCAAACATGATAATGAGGCTGACCTACAATTTCACAAATGTTGATTTAATGAGCCCCATATGGAATATGCTGGCAACGACCTTTTTGGCATTTGTCTAATAAAATTAAAATGAGAATTATACTGTAACAGCAAAAATATCCAAGTTCAAGCCTTTCCCTTGTCTGTAAAAAAGTCAAAAAAAAATTTTCTTATACAATCTGATTGATTTATTATATTTACCCTGGTGTAAATAGCACCTCCACCCCAGTTCACACAGGGATAATATTTTGCCCAAATAAAAAAAAATGTTAAAAATATAAAAAGAAAACTTAAAAAAATATTTTTGCCAAAATTAAATTGTTTTTCCCCCAAAAGAACTTTTTTTTCAAAGTTCACAAAAATTTTACAAAAGGAATGCTTCATAAGAAATTAATTTGATATATTGGTGAAATCAGGGGTATACAGAATTTTACACCAGTGTAAAATTCTGTATACCCCTGATTACACCAACTACTAATCGTCCATCTGTCATGCCTGTATTAATTGATTTATTTAAACTAGTATGATTAAGCCTGGAACGATTCATCATTATACTAATTACAGATATATATATATATACATATTTGCATGTAAATATATTATTTAAAATCAGATTTATACTTGTATCCTTACAAAATTTCACACTCTATCTAATTAAAAAGATAGCGTTTGACGTCTTTAGCCGAACAGTTTTATCATTTTTACTTTATTATATTCCTGTGTGCTGGTCCATATTATGGACGCCATTCTTTGCTCCTTTCAATTGGGAAAAACGGATAACAAAAAACAATATTTTGGAGTTAAGTATGACGTCCATTTCCACTGAACTAGTACACAATTTTATTTAGGGGCCAGCTGAGGACCATTTCTGGGTGCTGGATTTTGTCGCTGCGTTGAAGACCCATTGGTGGCCTTCGGCTGTTGTCTGCTCTATGGTCGGGTTGTTGTGTCTTTGACATATTCCCCATTTCCATTCTCAATTTTATGCTACTTTATTTCCTTCTTGGATTAATTTCTCAAAACCAAAATGATTAATAGTACACTCAATTGACAGCAGAAGACCCTGGAACTATTTTTGTCATACATGTACATGTAACCAATCAAAATTCATGAGTATGGATGTTACAATAATAATTCCCGGACTTACAAATGGATTTAAATAGCAAAATATTTTTTAATGATATGTGTGATTCACAGATGTAGAACTCTGCCTTAAAACTGTGATTATTTGAGAGGACTAGCACATGTAGCAGACCACCACTAAGTACCCTCTATAGATTTCTATGACAAAAAAGACTGAGTTCAACACTTGTGAAACATACATTTGTAAGGCCTTGAAAAAAAATACCTATCTTTCTGCGAATCCTTCCTACCCTAATATTTAGTGTCTTCACTTAAGATTTTTTTGTCATTTTTGAACAATCACCTGTTTAAACCAGTCAAAAACTTTTGAAAATATGAAATTTGTTATCTATCCTAATTTTTTTAACATGTAAGCGGAAACACAGGTTTTATTTTTAAGTCCCAACACATACATGTAAATTACACCTGTCCAAAATAGACGATTCATGTACACATCTTCTATATTATGTATGCAATCACTGAGAAGTTTGATTAATGTTAAGAAAAAATAAATGTGGATAGTGTCCACATGTGGACACAGATGATGCCCCCGCTTGCATATCATATAGTTATAAAGGGACATAACTGAAGAACGGTAAAAGTGACCCTACCCAAATTTGAACTTGATCTGTGTTTTGTGGTAATAAGCATTGTGTATAAGTTTCATAACATTTGGTTGAGGCAAACTAAAGTTAGAGATCGGAAACCAAAGTTAGAGGACGGACAACGGTAAATCTTAATGCCCCCTCCGCTACGGCGGGGGCATAAAATAATGTGATAGCAGCAAAATTCTAACTACATGTATGTTAATCCCTGTTCATGTACACTCAATATTTATCTAACTTGTGATGAAAGATTGTCCAATACTTAATGTTTTTATAATGTATTTCCACATTTAAACTATAAGTTAACCTTTTAATTGCATTTCCTATCCTATATACAAATTTATATTGACTTACATCTTGCTGCTTAGGAGCCACCCGACATCTTGCAATTTTTCTATTTACAAAGGGACATAACTCTAGAACCGTTAAAGTGACGCCACCAAAATTCAAACTTGATCTGTTTTTTGTGGCAATAAGCATTGTGTATAAGTTTCATAGCATTTGGTTGAGGCAAACTCAAGTTAGAGAACGGAAACCAATTTTGGGACGTACGTACAGACGGACAAGGGTAAAACTTAATGCCCCCACTGCTACGGCGGGGGCATAAAAAAAGTTAAATCTACAGGTGTGAGCAAACCAGGTACCCTCTTCGGATGGACAGAAAGGAGTGTTTACTAAATCTCCACCTCCTTGCCAATACAAATAATGGTTGGTATTAACTTTATTTTCTCAAGGACTCAAAAGAACATAAAAGTAAGAGTAAACTAAGATCCATAACTTTTTATGACCTTAAAACTGATGTGTAAAATCAAAACCTATAATGGTATATAATTCTACATTTTTTATGTCTCTATCAATCAGTTCATTTTATAATGTTCACATTAAATTATCCAAGCAGTAGATAACATGTAAATTAACAAAGAAATTATAATTCAACTTTAATTATTCATAACCTTTTCCCTAATTACTGAACTTAAATCTAAATTTATATCTTAATGATAATAAAATACCAGTTCTCAAGACAAAATTATGATTAATGTGTGTCTGGTCCATATTGTATATTTCTATGCTTCACTTGAAAATGTATGTCCTTGATCTTGTATTAGTTTCATATTGTTTATTATTAATTAAGGTTAATTTTCTGTTTCGTATTGTTTATTATTAATTAAGGTTAATTTTCTGTTTCATATGGTTTATTTTTAATTAAGGTTAATTTTCTGTGAGTAATGAAGATGTGGATTCTCCCAAAAAAAAAATGTTGCTCTTGGGTCTTATTAAGACTACAAGTCAATGTTAACCTTTATATAATTCAAATATTAAAATGTTCAGTTTGGAAGGATGCCAAATCTCTTTATGTGTATGTATGTACAGCATGTACAGTGTACAAATGTACACATATTAAACTTTATCATGAACAACATTTATCTTATCTAAAATTCATTGCAAAGATCAAATGAGAAGGTGATTTGACTAAACTTGAAATAAGCACAGAAAAATGAAAAACAATTGACTTAGCCAGGGACAAAACAATTTTCTCCACATGTGTTATTAGTGCTAATTACTACTTTGCAAATGTTACAATCTTCTCCAATGTATTACAATTTTCAACTCAAGTGCTGTACATGTATTTTCCCTTCATTACCTCAAAATATGTAGTCAGTGTTTGTTTTTACATCTTTATTTTCACAAATAACACAAAAATAGAACTGAATACAATGTACATGTATGTAGTAATTACAATTCCAACACTTACATTGACTAATATACCTTTAGTTCAGCACAGGACTTCCAAAAAATATTTGAGCAAGCTGCACATTTTATGTGTGATCCCGATTTTAATCCCTTAAGACTTAGTAACAAAAAGCAATTATAGTAATCAGTCGGCCATCATATAACCAATGATTGACATTAAAAAAACGATATTAAACTTTACTTTGATATAAATTCGATGTTCTGAAGTAAACTGTTAAATGACAGTGCTAATTCGAAGTGTGCAACATTAGCGTACTAATATCTGCCTTACTCTTTTTTTGTGCAAAATAACGTCAAAAGCTTTACTTTTGTTTTTAAAACGCACATTTGCCTAATACCGGATGTTGACTTGACAATGATAAAACATGGACCAGAGACGGATATGTAAAATCCATGTACGTTTTCAAAGCATGATTGAGTTTAAGTAGCTCTTTCCACGTTATTTCTTCAAGAAAATACTCGAAATGAACCTTAGATAAAGGTATCAATGATAATTTTAACATTTTTGAAAAATTAGTATGCATATTATTAAATTTCCCACCTGGGCACATGTGTACTAGTTCAAACAACGTTTCTGACGATTTTTGGTTTAAAACCTTTTTAAATTTTTCATCAAATCATATTTATAAACGTATTTCTGATAATTTCAATCTTTTTGACTAAATTTATTAGATGCAGACTGCTAAAATGTAAGAAAATAACTTTGAATAGACCGATCAATGTCCGGTACAAAATAGCTTACCTGTTGCCTGAACAGGTAAATTTTAGCCGTCTGACAACTAATTTACCTTGATTAAAATGAGGGTTTGTTTTTTTTATAGTACTTATTCATCATGTCACTTTTATGACCGGAAATGTGTGTCTGTTTAAAGGCAAAAGGTCGGGTCAAAGAGATCGCATAAACTATTTAAATTATGTTAAAATGTATTGACCCTCTCTTAGGAAAACCTTGAAAACTAAAAGAAGATTCTATAAATAAATCTATAAATGTCAAAATATATGACCGTTTTGGAAGCCATGGTTCAGCATGATCAGTTCTTCAAGAGAACGTTAAATAAAATATTTTGTCCGTTTTAAGTTAAAAAACTTTTTTGCAAACAGTACTCTTATCATGTGGACAACAATGATGGCCAATGAGCACAAAAATAAAGTTATATCTCTCTATTTTCAAGTTATGATAACTTGCAATTTATAAGAGGTGCTACACGTATGCTGAAAATTCTGTGAAAATTTCTTTTGCGAATAAAAGGAAATTAAAACAGCAAACAAACAAAACAACAAGACATTAAATCAATTTTCATGTCCAGAAATCTGAAATCACATACAGTTATTCATGTTTTCTATATTAAATGAGTACTTAGTATGGCCAAAGATGCCAAAGGGACATTTAAACTCATAAGTCGAAAACAAACTGACAACACCGTGGCAAAAAAAGAAAAAGACCAAAAGACAAACAACAGTATACAATAAACTGCTTCGCTGAGCGCAGCTAGACACGCCCGCAGAGGTCCAACCCTGAACAGTTGGGGCAAAAATGGACACAATATTCAAGCTTGATTCAGGTCTGAATTTGGATTGTAATTAAATATTTGACATATTATAGGTTTCTGAATAAATGTAGTCAAAAGAACTTGAAATTGGTTATATGAATTGAATTTATATTCAATTAAAGATTTCTTGCTGTTGTGCAATACTTAGTAAATCTGTTGTCAGACTATAAACAAATAAAGTTCAGAGTTCGCGAAAACTTATTTTGACCCGTCGGTCATGGGACCGACAAAGCATGATTATTTGTCAGTCCTACAAAATTTTAGCCAGTCCTACAAAATCTGTCAATTTTATCCTGAAATAAAATTAATAACATATTTTATCGAAAAATAACTTTATTAATATTAGTTTTATTCTTCGCACCCACAGGCAAATTAACAATGAAGGACCAGTTCAGGAGGTCTTCTGATTGTTCTTATTTAAAGTCATCTTCACTATCCATTTCATCATCTGAATCACTTTCTCGGCTGTTACAGTATTTGTTTGCTCCATTGTAGGGTTCAATCGCCGATTGTTTGCCAGGGATGGCTCTATGCACAAATTTAGTAGGCCACGTGTAGATCGCCGCTTTGGTTTGTTTATAATAAATCCGTAAACCAGTACCGGAAATTGGCAGCGGGTACATCTGATAACCGATGTAAACACTTATTGGAAACAGTTGCGGTACATCTAATAACCGATGTAAAAAAGTGCCGAAATATGTACTACAACGGCCGTTTTTACATCGGTCATCGGGACCGGCACTAGCCTTCAAAATACTGGTCCGAGCCTCATTTTGACCGACAGGACCGACAGGACCGACCATTTTCGTGAACTCTGAAAGTTCATTTAATTCTCAATGTCATAATAGAAATTTATGAAAATAAAAAGGGAGCTTACATCAATAGATATAAACAATTCACCAAAGTTTCATGAGAATTGGTGACAGCATTTTTGAGTTATTGTCCAAAAACAGGAAAATCACCCCTTTTTTTAATGAATAAAACCCCATAACTCAGAAATGTAAAATGTAAAATTCATAAAATTCTAAAGGGAGCTTACATCAATACATACAAACAATTCACCAAAGTTTCATAAGAATTGCTGAAAGCATTTTTGAGTTTTTGTCCGAAAACTGGAAAATCCCCCCCTTTTTTTATGAATAAAACCCTGTAACTCGGAAACGTAAAATCTTAAATTTATAAAAATCGAAAGGGAGCTCATGTCAATAGATATAAACAATTCACCACAATTTATTGCAAGTTGGTGAAAGCATTCTTGACTTATTGTCCGAAAACTGGAAAATCCCCCTTTTTTGAATGAATAAAACCCCATAACTCGGAAACGTAAAATCTAAATTTTATAAAAAACGAAAGGGAGCTCACGTCAATAGATATAAACAATTCACCAAAATTTTATGCAAATTGGTTAAAGCATTTTTGCGTTAATGTCCGACATGTTGACGACGGACAGAGGTATACCATAATACGTCACGTAAACGGGCGTATAAAAACCCAACATACAAAACTAGAACGAGCAACAAGAACCCCAACAAAATCCAGGGGTGATCTCAGGTGCTCCGGAAGGGTAAGCAGAACCTTCCCATATGTGGCACACGTCATGTTGCTTGTGTAATTACAAACCAAATGAAAGTCTAAGTTGGTAGGTCACATTCTGGGAAAAGGAGGACGGGATTGTGGTTATGAGGATTGGAACATATTTGTTGTCATCTGAGAAACAGATATTACATAACAGCCAACCAACTCATGATGGTGTCCGTTAAATTTTCTATGGGATGATTTCAACTTCACCACTCTTAACTATTCGTCTAATACATGTAATAGCTTCCTTGTGAGCAGCAACCCTCTATCAAGGAAATCGTGATAGAAAACCTAAGCCCTGGAATATTCTATCAACTGGGAGATATAAACTCCATTTGAGGTGCTGCTGGAATGTTGCTACATAGAAATGGAAAGTTCGCAGTTGGGAAGCTGAAATCATCTCTTTGTCATTAAGTTTTGTTTTCAACCGACCCTCATTGTCAATTTCTAATTGTAAGGCAAACTATGAGGCAGACATACGTAACTGTATCTGTTGTACTTACTGACATTGAAGATGGAACGATGCTGGACATTTGTCACAACAGAGAAGGTCACCTCCTTCTTTACAGCTGTCACAAGAGTCATGATTGACTGCACGCCCTGGTCTACGATATTCTCGCTCCTCACGTCTTTGGCGCCGTAAAGTTTCTTCACTTACTGGAGGAGATACAAGCTTCTGAATCTCCTAAAAAAATAAAAATGGATAAAGTTCAATAACATTGTATGTACATGATCATGATGATGTATAAACACTCACTTAATTCACAGGGTAACAGTCCACAGGATGACATGAGACCCTATCCAGACACATTATTCTGACTATAGGTGAACCAGTCTTTGTTCTTACTCCTATATGCTGCATGCTTACCGCAGCAGCAAATACCATTTTTTAATAAAATGCTCGGTGGGGATAAAATTATGGAATGAAATTGGGCCTGAATTGGTAATTGTGGTTTATGGGATTGTTATTCTTAGTGGTTGGGATGTCATTTTAATTAGATTTGTGAATTTGTGGTTAGAATTGTTCTGAAAAGTTCTATCAAAAAGTGACACTTATGTTGTGTGTTTAAGAGTGGATTATAATTAAATTTTGGTTTGAGTTATTTCCCTTTGAACAGAAATGTCAATATTGAGGAAATTGTTTTAATGTATATGTGGGAAATGTTTAAATTATTTTTGAAGTGGATTGATGTTTGAATGAGAATGATGATAATTTGATAATTTTGGTGATGCATCTTTTTACCTGTTTAAAGTGCAGAAGACAATTGATGTGATGTTATGGGGGAGGAGGTAATTTGTCATTGTTCTATTGGTTTTATGTTTGACTTTGATCATGTTGATTGATAGAATGTTATTTTGAATTATTTATTCAATAAATTTGTATGGACCAAAATTCCAAATACACAGTAAGCATCTCAAAGAACCCTAATACTTCAAGATTATTAAAACCTCATTGAAATTAGTCAGAAATAAGCAATTCAAACCAAGTTTAAATAAACTGTTAACATAGAGATATGTCTCACCTTTTTATATTTTTGATAGTAAAATGCAAATGTTGAAATTAAAATAGCAATACATTAACATGCAAGTTTTATGCAAAATATTCAAAGTCAATTAACCATGACTGAAGGCACATGGCCAAAAAAATCCATGGAAATGAGATGTGCCAATGCTAATACAGCTGCATACCAAATATCATTGACCTACCACTAGTGGTTCCCTATAAACTGACCTAATCACAAACTAATACATATAAACTAAGCAAAAGTTTCAAAAGTCAAAATAGCGGGGCTGTAATGAGATGTGCCAATGCTAATACAGCTGCATACCAAATATATCATTGATCTACCATTAGTGGTTCCCCAAAAACTGACATAACGACAAACTAATACATTGTTGAAGACAATACTGACGCCAGAAACAGCAGACTGTACCTATGTCTCACTTTTTGACTACCTTAATTCATGTAAAAACATATTTTCAACTTTTGGGATTATTATTCTTCTGTTATCTATGCTTGCATCTGTAGTTATTATCATAAGAATACGGATTTCAATCATAGTTGGTCAACTCTGACCCATGGTTCGTATAAATTTGTCAATGCCAGATGAAGAAAAATTTACAAAAATAAACAACGTTTGAAAAGCCAATTAGAAAGGAAAGTGATGTTAATCAAATGAAATCAATGTGGATAGTGTCCACATGTGGACACAGATGATGCCCCCGCTTGCATATCATATAGTTATAAAGGGACATAACTGAAGAACGGTAAAAGTGACGCTACCCAAATTTGAACTTGATCTGAGTTTTGTGGTAATAAGCACTGTGTGTAAGTCTCATAACATTTGGTTGCGGCAAACTAAAGTTAGAAAACGGAAACAAAAAATTTGTACTTGATCTTAGTTTTGTGGTAATGAATATTATGTATAGGTTTCATAATGTTTGGTTGGGGCAAACTTAAGTTACAGAATGGAGACTAAAAATTTTGCAATCTTTCGATTTATAAAGGGGCATAACTCAATAATGGTTAAAGTGACACTACCCAAATTCAACTTGATCTGTGTTTTATCAGTGGAAGTCAAAAATACATTGCATTGTATAAAGCATTGATTGTAGTTGATTCAACTATAATCATGGACAAAGGAAGATAACTCCAATTTTAAAAATAACTTGATATTTAGAAGAAAATAAAATTTTGCAATTTTTCCATTTATTAAGGGGCATAACTCTAGAACGGTAAAAGTGACGCCACCAAAATTCAAACTCGATCTGTGTTTTGTGGTAATAAGCATTGTGTATAAGTTTCATAACATTTGGTTGAGGCAAACTTAAGTTAGAGAACGGAAACTAAAAATTTTGCAATTTTTCCATTTATAAAGGGGCATAACTCTAGAACGGTTAAAGTGACGCCACCAAAATTCCAACTTGATCTGTGTTTAGTGGTAATAAGCATTGTGTATAAGTTTCATAACATTTGGTTGAGGCAAACACTAACGGGGGGGGGCATAAAAATGAAACATCAATTAACTAAAGGCAATTTTCATCATGTTCTAATGAAGAATCAAATTTATTTTGCCAAAAATTAGAACGTTTTAATGAATGCTCTTCAGAAACAAGTACCTGAAGTGAAAGAAAATATTTCATGAAAGTTTTTTTTTTAAATAATTATATACCATCAATCTGCAAAGTCAATGCTTTCACTGTATTTTAAAGAAATTAATTTATGTCTTTAAATCTCTTACATATAAATGGGTAGTTGCTGTTTCATTATTTTGCCAGTAACCAAAGCAACTGAGGCGACAAGATATCGATTTTGACAGTCAAAAGTCGATTTCTTCGCCACAGTCACCCGCTAGCGTGAGCCCTGGTACACAAGCCTAAAATTTGTTCATACTTAACAGGGCTCACGTTACCAGGCGACTAGGGCGAAGAAGTCGCTTTCCCAGACCCTCAAAAGCGAAAACAACTCGCCCTGTTGTTTACGATACTCGCTTTCAGTCGCTTTCGTCATCGACAATATTCAATTTTTACCAAGTCGATGAAACAGCAATTTTTCATTTAAAAGTAAAGAAATTTAAGGCATACACTATTTATTTTCATCAGAAAAGAGGTTAAAGCATTCATTTTAAGTTAATAGCATGTTATTTTTATAAAAACAATTTTTTATCACTTCCGGTCTTTTCCCCTACTAGAGAGCGTTTTCAAATCATTCTAACATTCAACAAATAAGTTGTTACTTCATTCGAACTTGATGAAATTTGCCTGAAGTAAATTTGTTATCCATGTATTGCATTAAAAACATCATATTCCTTTCCAAATAGCGTGTCAAACATCGTTTATTTTTGTAAATTTTACTTCGTCCGACATTTAAATTATTGGGCATATTATTGTACTACTACGGATCGGAGTTGGGATTTCACTGGAAACGGACCAGCTATGACCGAAAACCGGATTCTTACGATAATGATTACAAACACATGAATGGCACTGCTGACAGACAAAAATTTATCCCAAAAGGAAAAAAATACGCTTTCTACATGCATTAACATACTTTTGTTTAGATCTTCTTGATTAATGTATATATTTCCATGTATATGCATAGTTTCAATTTATAACTTAAAGTTGCTCAACTCTGGGACTATTACACTTATATAATTATATTATGTCCAAGCTTAACTGTTAAATTTATATATTTTTTTAATGAGAAATACTTAATTTCATGAACGTGCAAACAGAGTAGTTTTTTAATTGAATTTTAAATGATATAACAACTTTCTTTTTCATTTTGATATAAAAAAAAATCCTTTTTATTATTGCCAGATATTTAATTGTTTTTTTCTGACAAGAGGACTCATATGATTGTGCAACTAAATATGATAAAATTAAACAAGTTATTTTAATTGTATATCAAAGGTACAATTTAAACAATATAAAAAAAAAAATAAGATACATATTATTATGGCACTTAATGTATTATAGTAAAAACCAAACATTGTAGCACCGCGAGCAAACAAGCACTTCTCTTTCAAATCTCACCACTTCTCCCTCTCAATTTCAAAAAGAGAAGTCACTTCTCCCTATGATTCTGAAGTAGTGTGAGCCCTGACTTAATATATAAGATTAACTGTTGGCCAGGCCCATAACAAGTAAGAAATAAATGACATTTAAGCATATTTTGGTTCTGTGTGAAACAATTTGTCGAAACTAGCCATGGCATAATAAGGGGATGCCTTTTTGATGATATCTTGTCTCTTTATCAACAATCAAACCTGTGTAGTTTTTTTTAAACCAAAAGTTTTCTTCAAGTTTTGCAATCAATTCAACGATGTTGAAAAAAAAGTTTGATCAATTAGGCACTGTTTATTTGGACCCTAAATAAAATGTTTTTATTGACAATCACAGTCTGTGTATTAAACATGGTACTGTTAAATAAGTTCTTTCATCTCATCCTTTGATATAAAATTGAGAATGGAATATGTTTATTTTAACGACAAAATGAACTATTTCATAAAGAGTTACTCCCCTTATTTTTAGCCTTTTTGAAATAATAGTGCTGAAAATGTTTTTTTTTCAGTAAAATAGTGGTTGCAAAATATTAAAATAATGTACATGTTTACTTTTATTTGTAAAAAAGTAAAAATAGAAATAATACATTGTAAATAAGAGATAATATCTTCAAAACAAATGATCATGATGATTTTAAATCAGTGTGATATTTATCAAAAGGTCTTAACCATTTATTGATAATGAGTTAGTGCCATTTAACTAGTTGTATTTATCACAGAAGCTTCACAGAGGTTTAGTTTCTCTTCCATAACTTTAATTTAAGTATATTCAGAAAACCATATCAAAGGGAAAACATTGAACACAAATACTCCATTAAAATGTATAAAAATGTTGTCATACACAAAAACTCCCATGGGAATTTTCAAATAATTTGGACATGCGCACAAGATCTACAACAAGTGTTCTCCATATTTTAAAGAAAAATTTAAGAAAAGTTGACAAACATCATAACATACAAGAAATGAGTACGAGTTGGTAACAGTGGAACTTCAGCTTGGTGAAAATAGGGCACAAATTGGTTGAAAATGCGTTGTTGTGTACCCCTACAAAAAGGCCCCAGTAATGACAAATTGTGAAACAATTCAGGTCACTTGTTAAATGCATAATACTTGTCTTAATGTTGCAAAATAAAAATAAAACAGCATTTATATATATCATGCACACAGGCTATATGTATTTACTTGCATACATGTGTACATTTGTTTACAGAGGCTTTACATGTTTAAGTTAAGACAACATATGTGTATATCAAACAATGTCAATTTTATGTTTAATTTACTTTAAATATAAAAAATATGGATTTATTAGATTAGTGTCGGCCATGTTTGCATCTGGCAGCCATGATGAATTTCCAGCTTTTTAACTTATTTGGTTATATTTTTGATGAATTTCTAGCAGTAACAAACCTCCATCAATCCACCAGATGTGTCCAAATCGTATTCAACAGCTGCCATTTTACAATAATGAATGAATACTCTAACAATTATCTGTATGGTTATCTTTATGTCATCAAAAACCAATTATTTCCATTATGTCCCAAAGAAATGGGGAAAAGTTAACTTCGGTTGCCATGCGAAAAATTGAAGATTTTCATATAAAGGAGCAATATTTTATCATTATAATACATTCATTAGGAAGCTAAATTCCACAGTTGATGATTGCTGATCAGTTATCGATTGCAAACTTAAACCCTTAGCAGAAATTCGTCTTCATTTCAAATTCGCTAGCCTGTAGCCGTCTTCTTGGCGCAATATGTCGGCCATTAATAATACGCATGCGTATAAGTCTGGATTTCTTCAATGCGTTTGCGCATTTGGTGGTATCCGAACAGCGGAAGTTTATAAGGTGAAGGTCAAAATTAACGCGGGTAAATCTATTATCTCCCATTTCACATGCAATTAAATATTTCAAGGTTTTATCTTAAACATACTATATGTATTAAATACTTTAAACGATAAACGTCTATCCATTTCATATTTTCATATATCTTAAAGTAAAGCTTTAAGAAAAAAAACCGTGTCTATTTACTATAAGTGAAGATTTTTCGTTTTAAAGGGAAAACTTTTATTAATTTCAATTAAAAAAATAATGTCGATCTATAAATACTTGAAAATATATTAAGGTTCATTTTTCAAAATTATCTGTCTTTTTATCCATTAATTTGAGGTAGTTGTTATCTTTGAAAGAGGGGGAAGTTCGTGTAAATGACTATTTATATGACTTTTTTTTTCCAAAAATAAAACCACAGCAAAATGATTTTGCATCTTAGTGGTAAGGCCATCAATTATTTTTAAATTTTGCAAATTAAGACAGTAATTGATTCACTAGTCACTTATATTTATCTTTATATTGATCTTCATGTTGTTATTGAGGACTTCGTCCTTTTATTATTGTTTGTGTACTGTGGCACTACTTTAATCTAGAACGGTTTTATTAAAGGGTGACAGCAGGTGCTACTTGATGAGCTCGGGAGGTTATTGGTGCATGTTTTTTTTTACTGATCATCATACTTTTCTGTAATCAGATATTCAAATTTCAGGGAATCGTATCATGATCCGATTTGGTCATCAGATACAAATTAGTGGGAAATCGTATGCTTCTTTTTGATGATTTGGGAAAAATTCTACATACCCCCCCCCCCCCCCCCCCCCCCCGAAAAAAGAACTTTCCGCCATGTTGTAAAAGCTCTTTTAGCATAAAAGTGCGTATACAGTATAGACCAAAATCAATCATGCTACCATTTGCTACTTCATTCGGGGCATAGAATAATAATAAAAAAAAACCGAGAAATAGAATAGATGCGTCGCCGGTTTAGCTGAGCGTTACGAGTCTGCTGCGCTGTTCGGGAAATACTTATTCTGTTACAGTTTTTACTTATACATAATTATCATTTCTACCTGATGAGCTACAGTTTATAATTTGTGATGAATTTATTTTGTAAAGTCGTAATACATGCCTTTATACTTTTCGATAATCAGATATACAAATTTGCGGGAAAGCATATGCTCCTTTAAAATGTTTTAGGACAAATCCCCCCAGAAAACTGAAAATATGAAGTTTTCCGATCCAGATTTTTCACTACCATAGTGGTCTGGACCCAGATCGACCCTTCTACAGTGTTCACATCGGGAGCATGTAATTATTATATATCATATATATATATATATGAATGAGGAAATAGTATATGCTCCTCAGATACAAATTTGCGGATATCGTATACTTCATTATACTGTTTTATTTGCGGGTAACATATAAGATACGGGAATACGTCAATGACGGGTAACATATAAGATAAAGAAATACGTCAATGACGGGTAACATATAAGATACGGAAAATACGTCAATGACACAGCAACCCAAATAAAGCAAAAACAAAAAATAGACATCTAGTGGTCAGCACGATATTATCAGTCTGAAATTTCTACTATATTAGCTGAAAGGTAAAATTGTCTGAAAATGATTGTAATATTGGCTGCTGGATTTTGACAAACAATAATTTTGTCAATCTTTTGGAATAGTTTGATAGTCTTTGACCGTTTCAAATTCACTTGAGACGTAAAGCACGTGTACCCCATGTTTTATTGGAATTATAACATGGCTTTGTATACAAAGCGAGAGAGGATTGTCATATAAGAATCAATACCATTTCTCGGTATATATTATTGGTCATATCGCTCCGCAAGTATTCAAGTATTTCTACATGGCTTGCATGGATTTCTTATTGTTTATGGTTATTTGGCATTCCAAATGCATGCATGAAGGTTAATCCGGAAAAGCGTTTTGGATGCAATACATTTATAAAGTTTTTTTTCATCTTCTTTGCAATAATTCACGTAGGTGACTTGTCCAATATGTTTTTTTAAATAGGTCTATACTTGTACTACGGAAGGGTTTTGCATGGTTAAAACCAAACACTGACCTGCAAATGTTTAATGCTTTTCCACAGGAACTTTAGTCCCCAAAAATTGAGCGAATTGAATTGAATGACCTAGCATCCTTACGACATAAAAAAACCAAAAGACATATCTTTTAAGATAACTTTGCCTGAAGGAATCAATGACTTAGTTTCAATACAAATAACACAAGTTTTTCAACTAATAATGTATCTCCTTGTTATGTGAAATATACCACGTTATAGATGAAGCACGGACTGCTGTTTGGGATATTAACCTTGATAACTTCGGTTTATCGGACACTTGGGAACTTATATCCAGCAATGCTATCAGTATCGAAGTACTAACTACATGATTGTGTGTCAACCTTGGGTACTAACATCCACCAATACTGATATCAGTATTGAAGCACTGTTCAAGTGACAATTTTGGGAAATAACATCCACCAGCAATAATGTCCGTGAAATCTGTATCGAAGCACTAACTACTGTTCGGGTGACCCTACTGGGTACTAATATCCACCAAAAATGATATCAGTATCGATTTTTGAACTACTGTTTAGGTGTCACCCTTGGATACTAACATGCTCTAGCATTGATATCAGTATCGATGCGCTAACAACTGTTTAGGTGACACCCTTGGGCACTAACATGCTCTAGCAATGATTTCAGGGATACATGTATTAGTTTTTATGTACTAACTACTCTTTAGGTATCACCCTCTATAACTAGCATCCATCATCATTGATATCAATGATATCAGTATCGAAGCACTAACTACTGTTTAGTTGTTACTATTGGGAACTAATATCCACCACCGTGTAAAGCATTTGATATAAGTATCGAAGCAGTAACTACTATTCAGGTGACACCATTATGAACTTAAAATTCAACCAGCAATGATATCAGCGATATCAGTATCGAAACATTTGCTACTCCTTAGGTGTCGCCTTTTGGAACTATCATCCACTAAAATTGATACCACTGATATCAGTATAAAAGCATTAACTGCTGTTCAGCTGACACCTTTTGGTACTGAAAAAAAGCTCAAACACATCAAACGAATGGAAAATAACTGTCATATTCCTGACTTGGTACAGGCATTTCCTTATGTAGAAAATGGTGGATTAAACCTGGTTTTATAGCTAGCTATACCTCTCACTTGTATAACAGTCATATAGAATTCCATTATATTGAAAACTGAAATGCACCAGCAAATATATCAGTATCGAGGCATTAACTACTGTTCTTGTGACACTCTTGAAAATTAACTTCCACCGGCAATAATATCAGTAATCTTAGTACTGAAGCCCAAACTACAATTTAGATGACACATAGAACAACGGTATACCATAATACGTCCCGTAAACGGGCGTATAAAAATTAACATCCATTAGCTATTATATCAATATTTAATCAATATAATGTTACCCTTTGAATCCAACACCCACCAGGAATGAAATCGGTTATATCAGAATCGAAGCACTAACCACAATTTAAATGACACGTTGGGCATTGCACACATCAGCACCAAAGCATTAACTAGCTGTTTAGATGACACTATTGAAAACTATTATCCACTGGCATTGATATCAGTATCAAAAAGCAATAATTATTGTGTAAATTAAAAATAAGATTAAAATTCAGACCTATACCAACTCGCGTGCTCGTTCAAATAAGAATAACGAAATCAGAGAACTATATTTTAATTAGATTGGTAGGTGACATCCTTGGGAACTAATATACATCGTCAAATCATTATCGAAACCACTTATAATTGTTTAATTGATTCTCGACGAAACTAAAAAAAAATCAGCAACAACAACGAGCAATGCTGTCAGAAATGCTAGTATCGAAGCACTAACTGTTGTTAAGTTGAAACTCTATAAAACAAACACCAGCCAGCAATGATATCTGTAATATCAGTAACGAAGCACACACTATTGTTTAAATTCCACTATTGGAAACTTAAATCAGTATCGAAGCACTAACTTCTGTTCAGGTGACACACTTGGGAACTTTGATAAATCATCAATGATAAAAACAAATACCACGGAGGGTGACTTGGGAATAGAAATATGATTACTCTTGGTCTTCTTCCGACCGACAGTAAAACCCTTGCCTAAGTGGGGCGTCCGTTTGGCTGTGCGGGATGTACAAGTACGCATCCACGTCCGGTCAGAATGGAGACGTTAAATTCAATGCCTCGTGTAAAGAAAGTGCCACGCTCTTTGTACATTAAGAACCCTAGCAACAATTTTTAGAGGGGTCAATAGGTGGCCTGTTGCAAAGGCAAAATTTCTGCCCCTATCCAATATACCTTCGTTTTCCAGTGGCAGTCAAAATTTCCCCGACCTTCATCCCGGATGGCCTCTATTACAGTACCTAACTATAGTATTTATTGTAAATTTGTGCTCGTCCTGAACATTCTTGAAATATTTGCCACTGGACGTTAAACAACCAACAATAATCAACCAATCAACGATCTAACTACTGTTTGGTGACATTCTTGTAAACTAGACTCCAAAGGCATTGATAAGAATGGTATCCGTATCGAAGCACTTATTACTGTTTAGTAGACACCATCAAGAACTACATTTTCACAGGCAATGATATCAGTGATATCAGTACCAAATACTTACCACTTTTAGGTTGAAACTTGGGAACTAACATCAACCAGAAATGGTATCAGATATATCAGTTAGGTGACATTCTTTTGGACTAACGTCCAACAGCATTGATGTTAGTAACATCAGTATCGAAACACTAATTTGATTAAGGTAACTCTCTTGGAAGCTATCATACACCAGAATTGATATCAATGATATCATTATAGAAGCACTGTTCAGTTGATACTCTTGTAAGC